ATGGCTTCCAAAATCCTGGGGATTGCATTGTCATTAAGGCTGCTGAGAGTTGAGTTAGCCGTGTCTATTAATTTCAGTCAATCTACTTTAAGTAGGACTATCACGAGACATAACCCATAAGTGGAAAATGAAACAAAATACAACCAAGCAAATTAAAAGAAGATTAAATACTGACATCCCAAAACAGGAGAAGTCAAACATCAGGGGCTCAATAGTCATTGAAAGCTTACTAGAACTGGGTTTGGGCATGGGGGGGGGCAGGGTTTACCCCCCCATCCAGAAAGGAAATCAGAGGGGCCAAACATACATCTGGAGAAAACATCCACAGAGAAAGCCCAATCCTATGGAGCCACCAACTTACCTTCAATGGCAGGGAATGATCAGACTCTGCCAGCCCCCCCCCCCCAATCAAAATGGGCAGAAAGTATCATAAAACTGTCCTTCAGATACCCTGGACCATGTGGGATTTAAGAAATGCAAAACCATCACTTTGAATTGGAATCAGAAATGTGCTTATGCAAAGACTCCGAAAGAAGAGAGTGGAAAATGTTGTAAAAAGCAATGAGGAATGTTCAGTTATTGAAATGTTGCCTCCACCTAGTGTTTAAAAGTGTTGCTGTGCAGTTTGTTCTCTCATCTGGGTTGCTCACTAGCTGAGGTTGCTTTCAGTTGCCAAGCCTAATACTTTTAGCCCAACCCTGTTTGCACGTTGATCATGTGTGTGGCTTTAAGCACCGTACAGAACAGAGCCAGCCATTTGCTAGGCGTAATTCAATGTTTTTTTTTATTCTTTCGTCTAAGCCAGGAATGGCTGCTATTTCTCCTCCTCTCCAGTGTGAATTTTAGTAACATGGATGGAACCACAAATCATGCTGCCCCTCCAGAGCTATGCTTATTCTGCCATTCTGTGGTGGAACAGTATGAAAATGGGCATCAATATGCGTACTTGTGATCAACAGTCGGCCCCAAGACTTCTGCTTTGCCCATAGTAGGCGCCAGCAACAGGTCGTGCCAACTAATCTAGCTTGGTCCCCATCTGTCTTCTCAAAATATCCCATTTTCCCTACATCCTTTAAGCTTAAAAGCTGTAATCAGCTAATCGTCTTCTAGACTCCACTCCTTGAACAAAGTCCACATTGAATTGGCTCATCAACTGCTCTTTAGGAACATGGATTCTAATAAATTTTGAGATCAAACCTGTAAATGAGTTGTTTTAGCTCTCTCTCACACATATCCCTTCTCACATGAATTTAGCTTAGTAAAGTACGAACTTAAATCCAGGAATCCTGCCATACTGCACTTGCCTTTTAGGGTTGAAGGTAGAAGAGAGCAATAGGTATGGGAAGAGCAGAAATGTCAGGGGAGACTCTCTAATCAGCAACATCCCATGATGTCACCTTGATTGGTAGAAGCCAGTTTCCATGTGTTTCAACTTAAGCTTCCAACTTTTAATCCCTGAAGCTTTTTAGTTTAGACAGTTGACATCCTACAAATATTGTAAAGGGCACAGAGTGGGCAACAGCCAGTTTGAAATGGAAAATTGCATTTTACAAAATTTAGAATAAAGTGCAGCTCAAAAAATCTGGTGCTAGAAGAATCCAATTTTCACCCACAACCGGGCTGCAGGTGGACTCTGCATTGTGTAGGTCCTGCTCACCTCCTGCTTTACCTTCTTGCCCTTAACCTGAGACCACTTTCCAGTTCAGCCACCCCCAACCTGGTACCCTCTAGGTCTTTTGGACTACAATCCTAAGTAAGCTTAGCCATAATACAGCTGTGCTGGCTAGGAGATGTAGCCCAAACATCTGGAAGGCTGTTCTTGTTGCTTAGCTTTCATTTCGGGAGGCTTTACTAGTTCTTGAACAAGCAACCTCACAATGACAGAGCTCAAGTTCCGTCCCCCGTCCCCTGGGCTGCCTCCTAACACAGAGGATAGTTGGAAAATTTCTGATTAGACTTTGTAGATACCAATCCAGGGGCTTAACCCATCCATGGAAGACTTCTATTTTGATGCCCAATCTAAAGTACCCCCCGCCCCCAATATTAGCTAACCAAGACATGAACACATAGGCTCACTCAAGCCTCATCCCCACATGCCTCAGCGGCTCACTGCAATTTATTGCATGAACTTTAGTATAAGTGGAGGACTCTACCAAGTTGGTGCTTTGAGGGGAACAGTTAGGCCACATTCACACAGTACATTTAAATTACTAGGATCTCAACTTTAGAAAGTCATGGCTTCCCCCAAAGAATTCTGGGAGCTGCAGTTTGTTGTATGTGCTAAGAGTGGATAGGAGATCCCTATTCCCCTCCCCACTCATGGAACTACAATTCCCAGAGTGGCTTACCAACCATTCTCTCTTCACAGGTCAGAAAGGAGAAACATTAAGCTTTGGCGCTGTTTGTTGCCGGCTGAGGATTTGGGGGGGGGGGGGTGAAAGCATGTCTAGAGTTTTTTGCACTGATAAACTTCACACACACACACACAGCGTCCATCCTGCATGCAAAGTATCCCAAGAGACCCCTCGGCCCCCTTGCTGGCTTTGGCTCTCCAACGTTTCAGAGGAAGAAAAATTTGATGTGCAAAACCAGACATCCAAAATGGCTCAACATAATTTATTTTTTATGTTAAAATGTACAGAGTTCTTTTGAAAGTACTTGCTAGAAAGGGGGGAGGGAAAAAGTGATATTACATACAAGGAGAGGAAGGGAGGCCGGCTGGCCCAGGAGCGCATGACATGGAGAATTACAAAGGGTTTATCATCCAGGCACCCCTTCCCCTTTTTAAGCTTACAAGTCACCAAGAACGAAGTACAAAGAAGTTACAAAACAGGAAAAGCAAATATAAACAGACAGGAATAGACGCGGCTTCATTTTGTACATGCGGCTTTAGAGGCATCTGGAACTCTAGTTACACACTCTAGAGATCTCTTTAAAGAGAATTTTCATCTTTCTTAAAATAGTCTTTAATATTCTACAACAAAGATAAAAAATTTTAAAGATGGAATGAAATGAAAAAGCTCTTTTTTTTTAAAAGGCATCAAAGTCACTAACAGTGAGTTTTTTTTAAATTTCTTTTAGAAGATTACCAAGTTTATTTTGCTAAAAATACATTATTATTATTATTATTATTATCATTATCATTATTATTTCTTAAACAGAAGTGGGGGGGATGACAGGTACCAATATTACTGTGTCAGATTTTTTTTTATAATATAGAAAAGAACATTGGGTTCTCTACAATAGTTCTACAGTCACAAAGGTTTGTGGAAAAGAGGGAGCTGCCCAATTGATTTTTAAAAACCATACAAAAAACCCAAAACCGAAAAAGGTTAACAGCAGACAAAAAATAATAATAATAATAAAATTACATGGCCCTTGTGCCAACAGCTTTGCTTTTGACACCCCAACAACGCCCCGCCCCCTGCAACCAGGAAGCAATGCCAGCTCAGATGACCAGGGAAGGGAGGAGAGGGCAGCCCGAGATGTCTTTCGACACAGATGAGGTGAGCCTGGATTCATAGATATATACAGGGACAAGGATCCTACACAGCCTTGTACACATGCTGAAGAACTAAGAAAAAATGAGGGCTGGAAGCCCCTGGGATTCTGCTTTTATACTCAACAGTATAGAGGAAGTCCATTTTAGTGCAGTTGAACCCCCCTCCCCCCTCCACAACTGCCTTTCAGGTTTCTTTGAAAAAAAAAATCTTTACACATCTAAGTCAATCTAAGTGCGTCTGTAGCTCTACAGGAATATACAGAGAACTTTACATTAGAAGGATAAGCTACATGTCCCCCTCCTTATCGTTAGTTGATGATGTGCCCACAGGCCTGGCATCTCTTCACAGGATGACGGGATGGATTGCACTGCACGGACTCGCCCTGCCCTCCTGTCTCCCCCGCATTCCCTCCTCTGGCCCCCCAGGCGCACACAGCTGAAGGAACACCCAAGAGTGACCCTCTGCAAGCTGCTAGAGCCCTACGATGCGCCTTGGGGCAGGGGGAGCAAAGAGGCAGCAGTGCCAGCAACAGGCCCACCAGGGAAGAAGGTGACAGGCTCTTGACAGCCATTGAAATGTGCGCCCCAACTTTCAAGGGGGTGCAAGAACCTTCAGAATCTCAGTCTGTAAGCAGAGTTGTGTCCAAGATTCACATGCCAGATTTCCAGCTGCAGGACTTGCTGAGCATCCCATCTCCCTCACTCCACGCCCAAGCGCCCCGCTTTCCGGCTGCACTTAGCTTGTTCTCAAGATACTGCTGCTAGGCAAGGAAGTATTGGATGAAGGCAACGGGCACACTTTTGAAGTTACATTTAAACTGTATTTTAGTTCAGAGAGAGAAAGGTGGGGACAGAGGAGAATAAACCATTCAGAGTTCCTATTTCTGGAGGGATGGCAGAAGTAGACCAGAAAGTTTGCCTTGGGCTCTATTATCCCATCCTTAAGTCACCACCTCAAGGCCCGCTGTTGGGCCTGAAGTAGGAAAGAGAAGCTAGGGGAGGGTGGGAAGGATCTGACCTTTAGAGATGGCGCCATCTTAGGAGCTGTGCACAAGGGACAAATGGAGGAGAAAGAATATGGCGGCTGAAAATGAGATAATCTGACAGTTTTAAACACTCTGCCCAGATGGTCAGCAAAGTAAGACTCTTTGTTAAATTACAGAAAGGTTTTGTGCACATTTTCAATTCCCTCCCTGAAAAAAATAAAAGTAAACCCAAACCCCATTTTAAAAATGGATTTGAACTGTGAAGTGTTTCAGGATCATGAAGGGAAAACAAAGACCCAAACCAAAAGAACCCCACAAAACGTGAAAAGAATAAAGACCAGGCCCCCTAAAAATAAAATAAAATAAACCCAAAGGGAACAAAACCCCATCTAAGATCTACAGCAATATTTAACTGGAAAAAGGTCCATTGTCTCTGGTTTGTCAGTATAAAAGGTTCCTTTATTTATAGAGAGATTTCAGTTAGTTCTTTAAAGACAGCAAGTTTATCTTGCTCATCTTCTCATGTAGGGTCCGTTGAGAGACTGCTTGGGGACCCCAGCAGCATTCATGTAGCTGTGATGAGAGGGGCCAGTGTACATCATGTTCCCGTGAGGGTTTGGCTGCATAGGCTGCTGGGGATAGGCCTGGCTCCCCATCATTCCCATTTGCATCTGCATAGGATACTGGGCTGTCTGGTTCATGTAGGCAGGGTTGCTATGGTAGCTGCTGTTCATCATGGGCTGGGTCATCCGGTAGCTGTTCATAGCATTCAGGGTATTCATATTCATGGAGTTGACGTTGTAAGGGGCAGTTGGCATCAGGTTCACCCCCATGTTCATGCCGCGCTGGACAGCCAGCGCTCGGGGGCCGGCCTGCATGGCAACCGCAGGGGGGCTGCGCCCATAGAGCTGCTGCTGGTGAGCAGCTGCTGAGGGCAGGGGTGCCGACTTGGAGCGGATGGAGATGTGCCCCTTGACGGGCATCTGCCCCTGCAGCCTTTGGGTGTGGGGGATGCCGATGTTGGTGGTGGACATGTTGCACTGGAGGAGGGGCGAGGCGAGGTTCATGGTGGTGGACGCCAAGTTGGGAGGGGGTGTCATGGTGGCTTGTGCTTGGGGCGTCCCGGCCAACGGATGAGACGGAGCCAGCTGCGCCAGGCCGGTGTTGGACAAAGACACGCTGGTTGCATAGGAAGTCACAGCGGGGGAATGGCTGTAAGGCATGGCATGAGGGTCCATTATGGTGTTGGTCAGCTGCTGCAGCTTGGCTAGGCTAAAGGTGGCCGATGGCTGGGAGTAGCCACCGGCACCAAAATCCCCAGGAATCCTCTCGTAGATGCTTATGTTGCCCGTGCTGCCAGATTCTGGGATTTCCATTATCATGGGTGCTGGAGTGAAGCTATTGTTCATGCTACACTGGGACAGGGAAGGCTGCTGTTGCTGCACTGGAGGAGGGGGTTGGGGCTGCTGGGGCTGCTGGGGCTGCTGGGGCTGGGGGGGCTGTGCCGCCGGCTGCTGGTTACTCGGAGGCCTTTCAACCACGCAGCTCTGGGGGGACTTGATATTGCAGTTTGTGGCGGGCTGGACGCTGCCCTGGGGCATCATGCTGCAGCTGTTGCCCATGCTGGCTATTTGCTGGGTGACGACGCAACTGTTCTGGGTGAGGCTGCTGGAGGACGACAGGCCACCATAGGAACAGCTGCTCTGAGACGAGTTGTTACCGCAGATGCTGCCACCCATGGTCGAGTCGTAGCTGCTGGGGTTCTCGTAGTTCTCTGTTGTGCTCTCGATGCTGCCGAGGTCGCTGAAGCCACTGTCCACCACCTGCTGAGAATGGTCCGATACAGAAGGCACATCCATCATGGGGCTGGTCTCCATGTTCTGCATAGAAGGTGCGGAGAGAGAGCCTTGCTCAGGGCTTATCTGGGTGTAGCCGCTCTCCAGGGCACTGGGCACGCTGGGGCTGCTGACGGAGCGCACCGACTGGCTAGGGTGAGACTGGACAGAGGAGATGGGGCTGTTATGTTCTGAGGCCTGGCAGTCCTCAACCATAGACATCTGAGGATCCTCTTCAGCTTGGGTGTAGCTCTGCAGGTTCTGACAAGCCGCTAGGGTCTCCTCGCAATCCTGGTAGGCTACGTCATGCTCATTGTTCTCCTCCTCCTGCGTCAAGGATTGCACTGCTTGGACGGTTTCAAGATCCAGTTCACTGTGAGGGATTGGCTCCTCTTCCTTCAGCTCAATTAATCCTTCCTTAGCATGCTGCTCTTCCTCTTGGTCATCTTCGGAACCAGGAACGGGATCTGATCCCACCGATGTCTCATGGGAGGCTTGCTCCTCCTCAGAATCTGCTTCTCCCTCACTCTTGTTCTTGACATCCTCTTCTCTGCTGTCCTGTGTGCTTGTTTCTAAAAAAGGCTCCTGAGCGTCAGGCTCTTCCTTCAGCCCCTCTGTTGCTGCCTGCTCTTCCAGTTCATTCTTCTTGGCAGGCTCCACCTGCCCATCGTCTTCTTCGTCATCCGCATCGTGGTCTTCATTCTGGTTTGCCACAGCTGCCACTTCCTCCTCCTCCTCCTCCTCCTCTTCTCGCTCAGGTTCTTCCATCTCCGGCTGCTCTTCTTCCGACTGCCTCTGCTCTCCGAGGCTCTGGGGCTTCTCCACCTCTTCCTCCATGTCAGGTTCCTTGACTTCTGCTGCTGGGCTGCTGCTGCTGCTGCCTAAAGGAGAAGCCCCTCTTGCTTCACTGGCAGCTGCACCTTCCTCTTCCTCTCCCAGGTCCCCAACTTCTGGAGGCCCTTCTTCTTCTTCTTCTTCTTCTTTCCTTTCCTCTACAACATGCAGAAGCTCTTCCTTCTGCTCAACAGGCTCTTCCTTCTCCTGCACTTTTGGTTTGCGACCTGGTTTCAAAGCGGCTTCCGTGGGGTCAGTTGCCTCTTCGGTGGCAGCTGCCAAGACCTTCCCTCTCTTCAGCTTGAAGCCTGGCTTGCGGCCAGGCCTCTTCTTCCAGTGGATAGGCTTGCGGCTTTTGCCTTTGGGCCAGCCCTTCTTCTTCTTCATGGGGGTGGAAGTGTCTGGCTGGAGTGGGGAATCTTTCACTTCACATTTTCTCAGCACCGAGACTGGTTTCAAGGTAGGAGAGCCTAAAGAGGAGGGAAAAGGAGGAGGGAAAGGTTAAACAGCTGGACCTCTCGTCCCAATTCCTCACTAGGCTTGCAGCTGAAATATCTGCAGTTGATTAACCACCTGCCTGTTAATATTACATACTGCCAAAAGCTCCATAGAGCAGCTTCTCTAAGATGTTACAGCAAGCTCAAGTTAATGTGCAATTTAGCAAGTTACCACTCCTTATCCGAAATAAATACTGTATTTCAAGCTGCCTTTTTCACTCAATTGTTGCCCCCACAGTTGACTGACTGAAGATTTAGTCTGCTATAGTCTACTAATTAAACCTTGTAGCCCTACCTAAAGAACAAACTGCACATCTATTAGAGGATAGTGCTGGTGTGTTAGAGGAAGGAGATTCAGCTGGGTCTCCTGACCTGAAACTGCTTTCTCTCTCTCCCACCTTCCCAGGTATTGCATTTACACCTCAAGCCTCGAAAGGGCCCAAGCCCAAAGAGCTCTCAACCAAGGTAAGCAGACAGAGCAAGAGATGCTGGCCAGTGATATGTCAATCAAGTGGGAGATGAAGCAAGTCAACGGACTGGTGGAGAAGGAGCACATGGTCACTGGTTGGCTGCAACTATTATCTCCTAAAATAATATTACATGCTGGAATCTAAGAACTATTTCTGCTGCTCAGCTTTCCATGGGAAGAGCCTGCTACTTAAAGGACAAGCAGAAAATCACTCCTTGAGTTTGTAGATATAAAATCAATGCCTTTTAACGATGTCAAGAAATGAACAAATGAAACTGCCTTGACAGAAGGAATTTTCTCAATTCAGGCCACTACTGTCACTGACTCTTCAGAGCTGTGGGTCACTATGTATTTTCTTTGCAGCACTTGTAGCAGCCTATTGGCAGCATTTCAGTATTTCTGCTTTAATGTTTTGCTTAATGTTCTACTGGATTGTTATGGTGTTTAAATATCATGTACAGACATTTGGGTTGTGATTTTATTATTACAATTTGTGTGATCCACTTGGAGACTTTGTTGTATTAAGCCATGTATATATAATTTAATGAAATGAACATATTCACAGCCACCAACTGCAGCTTGTGCCATGGCATTTGCAAAGATTGAGCAACCTTTCCCAGCTTTGAGATGTACGACTTCCCAGCTCTGTGTCACAGGGCTGTAATAACAACTGTGATAGAAGCAGCCGAGGCCTGTGGCACTTGGACAGCAGTAGGGGTGTCTGTGAGCCAGGTTGAGGCTGCTCCTGGGGGCCTCTTGCACCGCTGTGCTGTGGCTGGGACTAGAAGTGAGCTGCAAAACTACACAAAGGCACAGGGCACCGCAGGGACACACAGTGTGTGCACTGCAGAAAGGCCTAGTCATACTTTAGAGCTCAGACTCAAATTGTCTAACCCTCACTGATACAGCCCATTTCCAATGTTCACAGTGCATTAACTAGTACTATTTATAGCAGCCCAGGGAGGCAAGTATGGCTATCCAATTTGGGAGGTGGAGAAGAACTGGAAGAATAATTCATAGCTTTGCACAAGAGGATCATTTCCTTGTGGGTTGTGGAAGCCTCTGCAAGGTAGGATCTTCCACACACCTCAATCCTCCTAATTCAATCCACAGCATCTATCTTGCCAACAGCTGCTCCCATGTGGCATACTAGCCTCTCTCAACCTTGGGTGCCCAGATATTGTTGGGACTACAACTCCCATCATCCATAGCAAGCAGAAGCAACAGCCAGGAATGAGGGAAGCGGTAGCCCAACAACACCTAGGAACCCAAGGCTGAAAAAGGCTGCTCTACTGGAAGGAGGAGGAATCAGTGGAAGTAGATTAAAATGTTTTGTACTGCAGTTTTGAAAAAAGGTAATCGAGCATTATAGCCAAGTATCTCACAGTAACTGACTCATTCACATGCAGAGAGCATAAGCATCTGCCTAACAGGTTACTACAAAACTACACTTAACAGGGCCATCTGGGCTGAGTGACTGTTGTTTAACCTCTTAAAGGTTAAATGCAGCTTAATAGTCTAAATTCAAGACTAGATGCAAAAGCACTTTGGAGAGGGTTAAGAAGCTACAGCCTAGCATGAACTTTCCCACAATGTCATCGACGACAAAGGGAGAGTGGCGGGGGGTGAAGAATGAACCAATTCCAGTTTTTATGGAACTGAACAAATGCAATTTGAAGGTAACAGCCTATTAGATGAAGAAATGTGGACTGCTACTGTCTTATAATGGCTTGGTAACAGATGAGTGGAGGGTTGCAGAGCTAAAACAGATAAATGATCAGACACACAGGTAGACACAGAACATCCTCAATGATATTGCTTTCTATTATGTAACTTAGTTTTATGATCTTATATTCTGTTCTCTGAGGAATGCTTTTACAGCTGATTCCAGAAAAGGTATTCCGCTAATCTAGAAAGAAGGTACTTAATGAGATTCCTGTAAATCTACTCTTGTGGAATCTAAAGCCAATGCAGAGGACATTGCACTTTATGTACTGTGCAGTCCATTCTGTGTACCCCTTAGGAGTAAGCTTTTGACTGAAATACAGGAAAGGATTGCTATAAAGAACGATTCTGATAAAATGCCTTGGATATAAACAAAACATAAAAACAGCTTTTATACGCAGCACCTGCACAAAAACTAGGCCAGTCACAGATGGCATCCGGTTGCTGAGAGCCTCTGGTTCATGCAGCATATACTTGCTGACTACAGGACTCAAAATGCCTGTGCTTCTACTTTGCAGTGACAGACTGATCTAACTAAATGAACCACACTGAAACTACAGTGGTGCCTCGCAAGACGAAATTAATCCGTTGCGCGAGAGTCTTCGTCTAGCGGTTTTTTCGTCTTGCGAAGCAACCCTATTAGCGGCTTAACGGATTAGCGCTATTAGCGGTTTAGCGGCTATTAAAGGCTTAAAGGCTTAGGGGATTAGCTGCTAAAAGGCTATTAAAGGCTATTAAAGGCTTAGCAGATTAGATAAAGGGGGGGGAAAGCGAAAAAAAAATCTCAAGACTCGCAAGACATTTTCGTCTTGCGAAGCAAGCCCATAGGGGAATTCGTCCTGCGAAGCAACTCCAAAACGGAAAACCCTTTCGTCTAGCGGTTTTTCCGTCTTGCGAGGCATTCGTCTTGCGGGGCACCACTGTAATGGGCTATTTGATGGAAGTGGGTGCTTTACCTTCCACTTTCTTACCACCAGGTGAAAGGAGGGACAACAGATGCCTGCACTGGTAAGATTGCTTCTTGTTGTTGTTGAATTCCCCCACCCCACCCCTACCAGTAAGCCATGGAGTTCATCCCAGTTCCTTAAGCAGGTTGTATGTCACCAGCTGGCCCCCTGGAGCTTGGCCTTGGCCCTCATCTCTTTCAATAGAAGTTTCATTGCCATCCATGGCAGGAACAGGGAACCTGTGGCCATCTGGATGTTTTAGCCTGCCATAACGGGAGGTGGAAACCCAAGAACCCAAGCCGGGGTGTGTGTGTGTGTGTGTGTGTGTGTGTGTGTGTGTCACAGGTTGCCCTTGGTCCAAGGGCTCTGGCAGCCCTTGTCCTTTGTCTTTTCCCACATCCATGCTCTCCCCACATTTTCTTCCCTAGTTGTCGCAGCTCACGTATTCCTGGGACTGGGCAACCTTGCATGTTTCATATGGGCACCGAGTGCAGGGAGGGAGCAGTTAGCGACCTTTCTTATGGCAAGTTACACTGCATTGAAGCACCCACTGACAACTGTTCTTGAGAAACCTACCAGTGGCATCGTCGGACTCCTCTCCACCCTGAGATCCTCTCTTGGAGGAGGGCCTGTGCCTGAGGGAGCCTTGGGGAGAGAGGCGACGAAGATATCCTCTTGGGAATAGTTCACTTTCTTCCTCGTCCTCCTCGTCCTCCATCTCAAAGGTGGGCTCCAGTTGAGGCATGGGCCTTTCAGAATCAGAGTCCTCAAAAGGCTCATCCAGGACCTCAGTCGTTTCAGAGATGGTTTCTGTCACAACACTGCTGTTGTGATATTTGCGCTTGCGGACCCGCCTCTTCCGGGGAATGGGCTTCTGCACAAACAACCACAACCAAGTGACAGATGGTTACATACAGCACAACTCAGTGAGGCAAGAGAGAGAAGCCCTATAGCATGCGGAGAGGAGACATCCAGGGAGGGCCACTGTCATTTCCTATGGCCACCAGCTGGGCTCACATTGGCCAGGACAGGAGGAGGGGAGGCGACTGGAGAACATGTCAGTACTCCAGTTTCAGGACTGGCATATTCCACCCCCTCCGGTGTCAAGGGCATGCCAGACCCCCCTCTGCACCTACCATCAAAATACGGATAGTAGAGAACTAACTGTAGCTGCAACGAAGAGGCCTCTGGAGACATTCTCTGCCCATAGAGAGAGGTCCTCAATATCCTAGGGTCCCCTAGGGCCCCCTTTCAAAGTCTAAACCTACTGCCTTTCCCTGGCACAAAGATAAACCTTTAAAAATGGATGAGGAATCTGGGGCCCACCTGATGTTGTGGGCCTACAACTCCCATCATCCCTGATAACTGACTGTACTGGCTGGGGCTGACAGGAATTGGAGTCCACCAACATCTGGAGGGCCACAGGCTTCCCACCCTTTCTTTAGAATATGCATCTCACAAATATGTAAGTAGCAATATGTGCATGCTGCAACAGCTGAGCAGAATAAACAAACGGAGTGCAGCAGTGGGCTGAGATTTTGCTTCCTGAGAGCCTCTGCATTTGTTTAGAAAAAAGAAAAAGCAGCAAAGTTTCTGGCACTGTCTGACTTAACATGTGTTTGGAAGTATAGGCAATGGCTGCTAAAATCTCAGAAGCCAGAAGACCTGCTGGATAAGAGTCCCAATGGTTGTGAGTGGGATGTCAGTGCCCTGCATGTCTCTCCCTTAACTAGCAAAATTGGGGGGGGGGGGGTTGAAAGTTCCCTCCCAGAACTGCTACTTGTAAAACAGTAAATTTGCAAAAAGCTAAATTACAAAATTAAGTTTTTCTGGGCTTATTATTCTTAAAAGCATACACAGTCCTGAATATGATCACCTTCTTACACATGCACATAAAGCCTACAGACGCAATAGCTTTTCAGGAACCTATCCAGGGAATGAGAGAGGTTCGACAGGCAAGCAGAAGCTAACACAAGGAGAAAGCTCAGGGTTGTGTGCAGCTGCGGAGCAGACAGAAAGGGAGAAAGACATACCTTTCGCTTCAAGGTGGGTTTGGTGAGAACTGGTGGGGAAGTGGAGCAGGGGCTGACAGGCTCCTCCCCCTCCTCTTCGCTGCTCTCACTGAAGTGCCTTGGCAGTGTCCTCTCACCCTCGCGGTGTGGCCGGGGTATTCGGTCGCACTCCTTGGAGAGTCTGCCTTTCAGGGGTTCGTGGGTCTTCAGCTGCCCTCTCCACACTTCACTGTATCTCTGAGCCACTGAGGGCTTCTCCCCTTTGCCATACTGCCCATGGGAGATGGGGGACTTTTCCTCATCTTTGCCAAAGTGCCCCCGGGGAGCCGGGGACTTTTCCTCACATTTGCCACACTGTCCCTGGGAGGAAGTGGTTCTCTCTTCAGTCTCCCCAAATCTCTCTCGGGAAGCGGCCGCAGCTGCAGCCGCCGCAGCAGCCGCAACCGCCTTTTCCTGACACTCCCCACAGCGACCTCCCCTGGCCATGGCTGACTTCTCCTCTAAAAGCAGTTTCAAATCCTTCTCTGCAAAGGACTCCCGCGGCTGTTTGTTCTTCCGACGGCCTCTCCGTGGCATCTGGTTGTTTGCAGGAAGACCAGCAAGGGGAAGACTTTGTTTGTTTGGCCGCACAGAATTGGCTGGAGAAACAATGTCTGGCTTTTTTTCGCTCTCCAGAGGAAAGTAAGACTCTCTCTCTTTTTTCTCCCAGGATACAGATTTGATCACCTGGTATAAAGAAAAAAAGCAAGCTATTTTATTTAAGACTTTCTTGCAACTGTTACTTCCTACAGACATAAGGTTGCTGGGAAAGTTGGTTCTGCATTTAAAGTACCAGCTTGCAGCCAAAGATTGGAACAATCTTGATCTTTCCTTGATTCCACAACTCCTGGTCATGTCCACCTTTCCTTTCTTCCGATTTCCCTCCAGTTTTCCTCTCCCAAATACCTCCCCATTAGCTAGCCAACTTCCACCCTCAAGCCCACTCCCTCTTCCTGGGCCCCACCACTACTTCCCGGGGTTTTCTGCTCTCCTTCCTTGGCCTCAATTTTTCTACACTTCCTGTGCAGGCCTACCAATGATCATGGAAAACCTCATCTGAACAATCCCATCCATCTTTCCATCCAGGCTGCATAAATTTCCCGTCACTATATAGGCCATGAAGGGAATATTTTTATTCCGAAACTGGGTTCATGAGTGCAATAGACCCCAGGGGTTTAAGTTCAGATGAGCCAAATTTTCAGACCTAAGCCCATTATTCAATAATAGTACAAGCACTGTTCCATGATTCAGTCTTAATCATTTCCAGTTAAAGGATCTCAGGTTGCAGAGTAGGAAGGCTTCTGTCTGAGTGCAGAAAGGAGCAAAGCCTGCAAGATCTTTTGTAGTTGTTGCAGCTTGATGACAGGAACAAAACACTTGTAGTAGTGAGACCATTACATGCCCTCTTCATCTCAGTCTCTAGTATTTCATTTCTAGTATCTGGGCAAAGATGATCTAAATCCATTTGAGTCTAATTTCATGCCCATTTTTAGCATCAGAACAGCCTCAGTTGCCCTGACTGATTGCCTTTATCAGAACAGAGAGACCAAGAGGTGGGAACAACCCTCGATCTTTCAATGGCTTTTGCCATCACTGACCATAGTCTCATTTTGAAACAAATCAGGGGTTGGGAGCTAGAGGCACCTTATTGCAGCAAATCTGCTTCTGCCTGCAGGGTCATTACCAGAAGGTAACACTAGAGGAATGTTGCTCAGCCCCATGAGTTCTGAGCTGTGGGGTCCCACAGGGTCCATTGTGTCTCATATGCTATTTCAACATTTATATGTTAATATCACACTGCTCTCTTCCTCTCCCTCCTTCCATCTAAATCAGCAAAAGCTGTGGGGTTGGACTGGTGCCTGGCTGAAGTGATAAGCTAGATATACTGAGACTAAACAGTGGGTGATTCTCGGGTCCAGAAATAAGGTAGACAGCTTGCACTGTCCCTTGAAGGAACAGGTTTGCAGTCCGAGAGCATTCCTGGATTCCAGCCAGGTGGCTTCTACAGCTAGGAGTGATTGCACCCAAATTAGGCTGGTTTGCCAGCTATTAGCCTGACCTCAGTTGCCCATGCTCTAGTGACTGAATACAATCCAGAAGCTGCAGCTACAGCAGAAAAAGGTTGCTAGGTTGGTGAGTGGGGCAATTTGATAGGACCATGTGTCACTGGTCCTGAAAGTGCTTCACTGGCTGCCAGTCTGAATTTGTACCAGTAAACAAACCCTAAAGGGCTTGGGACCCAAGACAGCCTCCCTCAAAACCAACCACCTCGGGCCAGAAAACCATCAAAGCAGGCCCTTTTGGCAGTGCCACCCCTTCTGGGGACTTCCTGATTGATGTTGACCCAGGGCAGGGCCTTCTCAGTACTGAAGTGATGGCCAAACTTGGCCCTCCAGCTGTTTTGGGACTACAACTCCCATCATCCCAGGGTAACAGGACCTAGTGGTCAAAGATGATGGGAATTGTAGTTCCAAAACAGCTGGATGGCCAAATTTGGCCATCACTGCAGTATTGGTTCCTCACTTATGGAACACCTTCCAAAGCATTCAGGAGGTTTTTAAAAACATTTCCATTTGTCCAGGTATTTAATGGCTACAACATACTAATTTAATTTTCTAGCCTAATGTGTTTATATCCCACCCTTTGTCCAAGGAGCTCAAGGTGGTGTCCATGGTTCTCCCCCTAATATAATCTCCACAACAACCCTGTGAGGTAGATTAGGCTGAGAGGCAAGGACTGGTCCAAGGTCATCCAGTGAGCTACACGGTCGGGGGTGGGGGTGGGGTCTTGAACCTTGGTCTCCTGGGTCCTAGTCCAACACTCTAATCATTGCACCACTCTCTTTCTATTTCTAGCAACCTGGAAATTATTAGGTGTGAGGATACATGGCTGTTTTTAAACATTCTCAGATGTTTTTAACATCTAAATATTTTGTTAGTTTTTGTGTTTTCTTGTTTGCCTCCCTGGACTCCTTTGGGAGGACGTACTAGATATAAATTTAAACAATAAATAATGGTTTGGGCTCAGGATAACAAAATTTCGTGTTTATTTGTTCCTACCCCACCTTTTCAAATAAAATTCCTCCCAATGTGGCATATGTAGAGGTAGGGCAAATTAATACAGGCTTGATGGAAAGATGAAGGGGATCCAATTTTCCCATTACGTTCCTTAGCAACTCCAGCTGGCTTTTAGCCATCCGCACTTTTAAGCTACCTTTCCATCCCTCTGCCATACGGGGCACACATGTGACTGCTTTGCTAATTACTCCACAATTGCATGCATATATAAATATCTATTCCACACTGACCTCTACCTCTCTTTCCCTTTGCTGCTGCTGCTGCTCTTCATTTTCCCCATCTTCAGCTTCTTCTTCTTCATCCTCTGAAACCACTGAGTTTGAGACAATGACAGGAGTCCAGCGTAGGCATTCTGGATCTACAACTACAGGCCGGAGATTCAGTTTCAGCTTTGCCATGTGGTCTTGGATAAGCTTCTCCCGCCGGACAATCACAAATCTGAGAATGAGGAAAAAAATGATTCAGCCAAATGTTGACGTTTAAGTGCAGGTAACAAACGTACGGATGCAGGGAGGAAGAGTGACCAGCAGGAGGATGCCCAAAAGACTGTCACATTGCTAAGCAGCTGCCATAGTCTGTTGCATCAAGAAGCAAACAGATCAAAACAGCATTTGAGGTGCACAAATAGGTTAAAGTCAGCTCCAAAATTCCTACAGTGACTCATGTTACAGGTAGGTAGCCATGTTTGTCTGCTGTAGTGCACACACATGCACACGAAAGCTCATACCAATAACAAACTTAGTTGGTCTCTAAGGTGCTACTGGAAGAAATTCTTTTATTTTGTTTCGACTACAGTGACTCATGTGAAGTTTTGAAAAAAAGTTGTGTAGGACATTTCTTTCTCACTTCCGTTTGAAACTTGCAGCCCAGAATCAAACTGAGATGACACTAGAACTGATGCAGAGTGCAAGGTAATGAAGAATCATTAAAGGCAGCTAAGCATCTGTTGCAGGAAAAGAAAATATATCTACCAGTTTTTCTGGCTTCTTGTGCCTCAGGCTGAAGGCATTGGAAGGCTCTTAGTGCCTTGGCTGAAACTGCAACAATCTCAAAACCCAAAATCCTGCAATGCAATGATTGTGTTTTAGCAATAAAAATAAGCTCCAAAGCCAAAAAGCTTGAGCTGAGCTTCCAAATCTCAGGTTTGATTTAATAAACTGCACATTTCTATCCCTATTGTTTGAAAATGTGCTGATGTCTCAGAAATCAAAGTAAATCAGCATATTAATCACATGGTAGTGTTTATATCCCCTTGCAATGCTAAAATTATAGTAAATAAAAGAAACATGCAAATTTGATTGATCTGCAGGATTTAGAATTACAGAATTCAGCTGCTTTTGGTGAAGAATTCTGATTGCCTGAGTACAGAATTACTTTTTAGTTAGCCTTAATTATGAGAATGGGACGCGGGTGGCGCTGTGGGTAAAACCTCAGCGCCTAGGACTTGCCGATCGCATGGTCGGCGGTTCGAATCCCCGCGGCGGGGTGCGCTCCCGTCGTTCGGTCCCAGCGCCTGCCAACCTAGCAGTTCGAAAGCACCCTTAAGTGCAAGTAGATAAATAGGTACCGCTTTATAGCGGGAAGGTAAACTGTGTTTCCGTGTGCTGCTCTGGTGCCGGTTCGCCAGAGCAGCTTCTTCACACTGGCCACATGACCCGGAAGTGTCTGCGGACAGCGCTGGCTCCCGGCCTATAGAGTGAGATGAGCGCACAACCCTAGAGTCTGGCAAGACTGGCCCGTACGGGCAGGGGTACCTTTACCTTTACTTTAATTATGAGAATAAGCAATTGCGTTTTCAGCAGAAGTGACAGATTTAGTTTGCTTCAGTGGGGCTTGTACTCTTCTGTTCAATGTACTCAACACAAGGTCTGTACATGTTACGAAAATGTTTCCTGTTGCCATTAGCTATGCTGGAGGGTGGAGGGAGCAGTTGGACAAGGCACTGAATGCCTGCACTGTGACTACTAGAAATTTTGGGACAGACAGATGAAGAAAATACTAGAGAATGTTTCAGCTATATGGGATCATTGGTCTTACCTGAAAGAAATTTCTCTATGCATGTAAATATAGTCTCAGTTGAGATGTGAGCTGCCCCATGTGTTTTATGGCATAAACACAAATTGTTTCAAAAGCAGTTAAATTGTCTCTTTCCCTCTGTAGCACTAGTTTTTGTTCATGACAAAGCTTAAGAGCAGAAATGTTACACAAAAGAAACAAAAACACAGACAAGCATTCAACTGCACAAACGCCATTGTTCCCATGACAAACTCACACCCCAGTAGGCACTGTAAAATACAGAGTGCAGCCCAGAGACCATCATTACATGCACAGATATTTTTTTCAGTTAAGACCAGCAGTCCCTTCTCTTGTGCATGTAAGATGGTCTCAGATGGAGTGTCCAAAAGTGTACCCATGTAGGGAAGGCTTTAGCTGCCTATTGGTCTAGGAGTCCGTGCTGCAGCACTTTTCTCCCCAAAGCTGCCTCAGCCAAGGCATATAAATCCATTTTGTAAATGTGTAGCAACCTCCTGAAGAGGTCTGCTCATTTGGCCCCTGCCCCAGTAGCTGAGTGTGCAGTAATTTTAGATGGTGGCATCAAGTGCAACACATTATATGGCATATTTATTCAGACCCTAACTCACTAAGACCAAGTGGAATCTGAAACTCTCTTTCCTCATTCATTTGGATGAGAAGATGCAAATAATGACTGTCTAAATGGCTTTGTACATGCAATGTGAATCTTCAAAGATCTTCTCACATCCAGAGAATGCCATGCCTTCTCTGTAGGATGTTCAGGTGAAGGACAAAAAGTTGGAAGATTGAGCTCTTACTGTCCGTGAAAATGTGTATTGATTTTCAGACTAAAAGAAGAATCAGTCTGTAATACTACTTGGTCTTGATACAGTACATAAAGGTGTTTGGCTATCGATAGCGTATTCAGTTGAGAAACTTGCCTTGCTGAAGTAACAGTGTTAAGAAATACAACCTTAATTGGTAACAAACGTAGAGACTGATTTTAAATGTTTAAATGCTGGTCATTGCAGAGTCTTTAGCTCTGTATGCAATTCCACCTTGGGTACGGGTGGATTTATTATTGTAGCCTCTTTAAGAAACTAAGGAAAGGAAGAGCACCTAAAGAAAGCTCCTGAATATCAGACAAGACAGACCATGATGCTGATGACAATCTTCACAATGTGTTGGGGTGTAAGTCCTTTGGGGGGGGCAGAAAATCTCTAATGCTAGCCCTATCCAGCTGCACTCGATTCTGCTTGCACCAGTGCAGAAATGCTGACGATGCTGAACGATAAACACAAATTGGAGAAGGATATCTTGAGGCTAGAATAAGGTAAAGGTAAAGGTACCCCTGCCCGTACGGGCCAGTCTTGACAGACTCTAGGGTTGTGCGCTCATGTCACTCTAGAGGCCGGGAGCCAGCGCTGTCCGCAGACACTTCCGGGTCACGTGGCCAGTGTGAAGAAGCTGCTCTGGCGAACCGGCACCAGAGCAGCACACGGAAACACAGTTTACCTTCCCGCTATAAAGCGGTACCTATTTATCTACTTGCACTTAAGGGTGCTTTCGAACTGCTAGGTGGGCAGGAACTGGGACCGAACGATGGGAGCTCACCCCGCCACGGGGATTTGAACCGTCGACCACGCGATCGGCAAGTCCTAGGCGCTGAGGTTTTACCCACAGCACCACCCGCGTCCCGCGTGAGGCTAGAATGGTATTCACCAAATCTGAAGGCAGGCACTTGTGTTCACTTGGTCAGGTTCAACCACAAAAGGTGTTGAGGAAGCAATGGGCCTTGTGACAGAACGTTGCATCTTCCTGGAAAATGCCAGGTGGTCACAGCCAGCGGAACAACCTCTGAGAAACAAGGTCTCCTTCGCCAATTCCCTTTGAAGAACTGTCTGACACTGCCTTCTCAGCAGCTCATCCTCTGACAAAGCCTCATCAAGGATTGTGAAAACTGCTGTGCCCTCTCAATGCCACCACTGGACAAGGATTGAGACTGGGGCTTCTGCAGGGGCTTCCCTGCCATTACTTCTCTGCCTTTACACACTGACTGCTCCCACAAAAGGCAGTGGCAGCTGACCTGGGGTGAGCTAGCTAAGCCCTGATAAGTTCACAAACAGTGGCTACTGCCTACCTAGGAAGCACCAGAACTGCAGCTGCTGCCGACATGAAGCCTTTCATGCTCGGTCCCCTCAGGGATCCACATAATGGCAGCAGTTAAATTAGGTGTTATGCTTGCTGCCACAGATGCTTCCAGGTCTCTTGTGTGCTGGTGCTTCCTTATTAACTTCCATGCTGCTACTGCAGGTGCTGACAGTCTCTAATTATTTCCCCCCAAGCCAGAAAAGGTATGGGGCAAAAATAACCGCAACATGGGAGACAGGATTGTAGGGAGACAGACTGTTAGAAAACCAGGAAGAACTGAACAGACACAAAATGTTGGGGCGTGTTTTTGTTTTTTGTATTTAAGCAGCACATGGGGAGGAAAATGGGCTGGGCCTAAACTTAAACAGAACATGTGCAGAAGGCGGCAACCAAGATGATCAAAGGTCTGGAAACCAAGCCTTCTGAGGAGTGGTCGAAGGAGCTGGGTATGTTTAGCATGGAAAAGAAGAGACTGAGAAGAGATATGAGAGCCATCTTCAAATATCTCAAGGGCTGCCACATGGAAGATGGAGCAAGCTTGTTTTCTCCTGCTCAAGAGGAGCAATGGCTTCAAGTTACAAGAAAGGAAATTCCATCAAGAAGAACTTTCTAACAGTAAGAGCTGTTTGACAGTGGAACATACTCCCTCAGGAGGTTGCAGACTCTCCTTCCATGGAGGTTTTTACGCAGAGGTTAGGATGGCCATCTGACATGGACACTTTAGCAGATATTCCTGCATTGCAGGAGGTTGGACTTGATGACACTCGGGTCCCTGCCAACACAATTCTATGATTCTATGAAAAAGGTAAAAAACAGACTGTTATAGAAGAGTGGCAGATGAAAATGATGGACTTTGCGGAACTGGTGAAGCTGACGGGGGAAATCCAAACTAGCATGACCAAGTATTCCAAAAAGACTGGAGTAAATTTACACAATATTTGAAAGATCATTGTATGCAATTAACAACATGAGTAGGGTTATCTGAAGACTTGTAATAAGAAATTTTTTACCCTTCTACTTTTATTCAAACTTTGAGGTATTTTGTAATGAGTTATATTAGAATTGGAAAAGATATAAAATGCTGTGATATAAAGGTTACTTTTGAAAGCCAAGAGGTGGGAGGGAAGGAAGTCTATAGCCTCTAGACAACCAAAGAAGTTAAGTGGATAATAATGATGTGACTATATATTTTTAAATGGAAAATAAAAATTATTTTTTAAAAAACGGACTGTTAAATCACACACACAAACAGTTCACACTGAATGAGCCCAACACACACCAGGGGAAAACTATTTCCTTAATAGGCAAGTCACACATACTCCAAGGGCCCCACCATAAACTCCTCAACACCACAATCACAGCAGGCAATGCCAACAAGTAAGAGAAAAGAGGAGCTTCAGAGTCAGCAAAAAAGACACGAGAGACTGGCTTCAGCAGTGGCTTGAGTCAGGCAAGAATTAAAACTGGCGCTTCAGAGGGAGAGAAACTGTTTAACTGCCTTTAAGCAAGTCAGTGTTTGCACCATCAAGCACTAGGCACTAGGCTGAGTTCATGCCCCACCTGAGACCATCTTGCTTGCACGGGAGAATGCCCCCATCCCTCTACAGAGGGATGTGATTTTCATTAGCCTGCTTTGATATTACTTTTGATCCACCTTGAAAAGATCCATATCCTGAAATGCAGAATATGACTATAGTAAATAAATTATGCAATCGCTCTGCTTCCCACATTCTAAAATTGCCCTCACTTTAAAAGCAGTGTACCAGAACAGTAAGGGTGAGAAATTTGGATGATTTGAGTTTCTGTCCCCCTTAAGAGGAAGCAGAGTTTTACACCCAAAACTACTGCACTTTTGCAGTGCTTCCACTGAAATCTACCATTGGGCACAGCCATGTCTTTACCGTATTTTTCGCTCTATAAGACGCACCAGACCACAAGACGCACCTAGTTTTTGGAGGAGGAAAACAAGAAAAAAAATATTCTGAATCTCAGAAGCCAGAACAGCAAGAGGGATTGCTGCGCAGTGAAAGCAGGAATCCCTCTTGCTGTTCTGGCTTCTGTGATAGCTGCGCAGCCTGCATTCGCTCCATAAGACGCACACACATTTCCCCTTACTTTTTAGGAGGGAAAAAGTGAGTCTTATAGAGCAAAAAATACAGTAATTATGACCCTGCCATTTCTGGCCCTCCAATTCTACGATGCTCACTGATCATTTCGGAAATCCAGCATTCGCAGGTGATGCAGGGTGGAAGTGATGTCTTGAGGGCAGATGCCAGTCAGCTTGCTTAGCTTCTTGATGCTGAGTTGCTTGTCATTTTGGTGATAAAGGCACTCCAAGATTACGCTTTTCCAATAAGCCATGTAAGAGAGACGACCCAAATCTGATAGCGGCTTCTCTGGGGATCCTGCTTGGCCTTCACGCTTTGATAGGAGATAACCTGAGAGAAAGCAGAAAACACTTAGGACTGGGCTCTGTACGGAAGCTAGCCTACCCTGTTTGAGTGTCTGCTCCTTATTCAGCTATAGGGTCAGGCACTCTGACTGGAATTTAAGTCAACAAAAACAGCCAATGGCTCTCACAGGACCCAGAAGCTCTTCTCTCCAGAGGTCACCAGCATTTCCCGCCCCCTTCCACACAGAAGTAGCCGCCTGTACAAGGAGATACATGATTCTAATCTGTGCTGAAGGCATTTTGAATTTTTCAGAAACATGGACAGAAATGTAGAACACCCTCCAATTAAGACCTTTGATTTCGGAAAAGGTCAACCAACCCCCCCCCCAGCCACCAAGAAGTGTTTCAGCACCAATTCCCATGGGATCATGGAAGCAAACGCTGGTAAATCAGTGGGAAAGGTCTTGCAGGCTACAATATGTCTGACTGTAATTGGATATAAACAGTGCCACTAGGTGGCAGATTTTTTCTGTTCCAGTGAAAAAAGTGAAACTTGCAAAAAAATATTGCAGAGCAGAGCTCCTCCTGTTCAGGGTTGTGGTCAACAAATCATGGCCTTTTCCCCCGGCCCCCCCCCCCCCCGGCCACAGTTGCCACTAAGCCTTCTCATTCTTCACACAGTTTGGGGACTTTCCCCCCTCCCTTTTGTTCCCCACCCTCTATTGATTGTTTGCCTTTCTGCAAACCTTAAGGTTTCCTCCCTCTTCCTAAAGCATACCTCTCTCTTGTATTTTAGCAGCTCCATTTTGCCCATCATCCCGTTGGCACTTGCCAGCTGAGCTTGCTATGAGAGGCAAGGACAGATAGGTGGGGCCTCCAAACGGCCACAACCAATGACATGACCAAACCACTTTAGACCATCCTAATGAAGCAGTTGCTAATAGAGGATGTGCGTGAACTCTGTCATTGTTAATTAGGGAAATTAGATGTTCCAAGAATTATTTCAAACATAAATGGCATCTTGTATTATTAGGTGCCCAAATAATGGGCATTGTAACTGTGAACAGGGGAACACATTATGTATTATTGGAAATTAAGAGCAATTTTACAGGACTAGAAATGTAGATTCTGTATAGGTATGCTCAAAACAGGGAATCCAAACATATTTTGATCCCATTTTCTGGCAAACTCCCTCTAGGTCAACACAAGATGGTTTTGGAACTGGAAATCCAGGCACTTCTTTATCTCAAATGCTTAATTTATCCAGAGTATTTTGGTCAAATTACGTTTTCTTGGCCCTCTTACTATTTTTAGTACTTCCAACAGTACTTCTCTCTTTCACTCCTGCTGTGTGAACACAGGGCTGACTCTGTCAATTCACTCATCCTTGCTAGATCCAGAATACAACTATTAACAACTGACTCACTTTTTAATCAGACATGTTATTTTTACCTTTGCTACCTCAACATATGCCTTCATCTCCTTCTCTTCCCTTACTTTCCAGAGAATGATCCAAAAGCCACTGATGTGAGCGACTTTATAGCAGATCTCATGTGGACCCTAGTCCACAAAAGTATATGCCAAAATGTATTTGTAATGTATTTATCATGCCACAAGGCTGCTGTCACGTAACAGGGTGATCTAGCCAAGCCTACTGGTTTGAAGCAAGTTGTCTAACAGTTACTCGTGAAATATATAGGTGATATGAAGCTTCTGTCGGCCATGGAAAACCCATTCAGTTCACACTCCCTATGACTTGTCCTCATCAGCAGGCAAGTTTCAGGGTTACATTCTAGCTGCTACTTTCAAAAACAGGCCTGGAGGAACCTCCTGCTCCTGTTCTACAGGTGTTGCTGGACTACAATGACATTTTTGGCCCCTGGCCATGTGGCTGATGGGAATGTCAGCCCAAGGACATCTGGAGAGACACAGGGTTTCTCTGTAGGTGATCCCAAGGACACTACATTACGTTAGTCAAGCTTTGAAGTTATGAAGTCCAAGGGCTGCTACACGATACCACTGTGAGGACTAAAAGGCAGATGCAGCTTGATTTTCCAGGTGCAGAATTCACCAAAGATGCTCTTCCGCCCAGGTAGCAGGGCTCACCATTCACCTGTCTGTTTAAAAATTCTGTTTGAATCAACTCCCTCCACTCTTCATTTGTAAGTTTAAATACAAAACCAACCAACCTTCATAATCCGCTGACTTTTCACAAACCTTCAACTTGCACATCAGTCTCATCAATGTGATAGTAAAGCAAATGAAGGAGCTACTGTCTCAAGCTACTGTCTCAAGCACTTATGTAAACTAAGCATTAAAGCAGACTGTACATGGGCAAACTTTTGTATTAAAAGAATGCTAATGAAAGGGTTTTGCTGCTGGAAGTTCTTTAGCAGGAATGGGGAACCTATGGCTCTGCAGATGACCTCTGACTCCCATCAGCCCCAGTCAGCATGACCAATGGTCAGAGCCAGAGGTCCCCTCGTCCGGTTCTACAGTACATGTGTTTTTTCCTGACGATGAGTGAGTGAGCATCAGCATTCCTGTAAGAGTGAATAATGTGGGCCTCACTCCTCACCAAATGGGAAGATGCCCATCAGAAGTGATGGTCAGTGATAAAAATAGAATATAAAAGATAGAAGGACTTGGCGAAAGGTAGTTAGCTTAGCTTTGGAACTGGCTCTTTGCTTTCCCTCCAGAAAGCAACATGGCTGTATTCCCTTTGCGTTTGATGCCACTGGCATTGAGTCCTCCAGAAAACGCACCTTGCTTCTTTGTTTTCCTTTATGCGACAATCCTATAAGCTTTAAGGATATATATGCCTTTGTTCCTTTGTAATATTAATATTTTTTCTTGAATATTTAGTAAAAAACTAATTTGAACAGAAAAATGGAAATTCTATATTTAATGCCTACATTTCCACAAGTTATAGAACTCAAATTAGCCATGTATACTGAGATACGTTCATTTTTCAGACAAACATTTATAATGGGAAATTAAACAGCAGCAGCTGCACAGATATGTCATAACCACCAGTAAAGGTAAAGGGATCCCTGACAATTAAGTCCAGTCGCGAAGGACTCTGGGGTTGCAGTGCTCATCTCGCTTTCCTGGCCGAGGGAGCTGGTGTTTGTCCACAGACAGCTTCCGGGTCATGTGGCCAGCATGACTAAACCGCTTCTGGCGAACTAGAGCAGCGCACAGAAACGACGTTTACCTTCCCACAGAAGCGGTACCTATTTATCTACTTGCACTTCGTGCTTACGAACTGCTAGGTGGGCAGGAGCAGGGACCAAGCAACGGGAGCTCACCCCGTCGCAGGGATTCGAAACTGCCAACCTTCCGATCGGCAAGCCCAAGGCTCAGTGGTTTACACCACAGCATCAGTAGTGCCAGCTAAAAATGTTTTGCTGTCTGCAGTGAAAGGCAAGATGGTGCCCACTTCCACTGAACACACAGAAGCCAGCCTGACTGGCAGCTTAAACTTATTTCCGCACCTAGCAACAGCACAGCAACCTCTACCACATCGGAAAGCTTTGGGGTGCAAGGCAGGCTTTGAGGCACACACAGCTCCCTCCTCTAATAGGGCCAAGTGGTCAGGGGGCTCAGAAGAAATGGGTACCCTCACCAGACCCAGCATCTGCTGCTTGAGGCAGCTGCCTTGTTCAGGGCTGGCCCTGATGGTCCGCTTTACTCTCTTCTGAAAGAAGAAACCCATCTACTGATGTAGTAGATTTGCAAACTGGTCACTTTCCCTAATCAGGTTGTATTTCAGCCAAAACGCATAATAAATTTATGCTACTGTTTGTCAATAAATTCACACAAATATATGGTCAAATAAATAAGAAGTGGGTCTTCAAATGCTACAGGTGAGTCCCAGGAGTGAAAAGGGTAAAGACTACTGGTAAATGATTTGATGTGTTTGTTAGCCACTTTGCACGATGTAGTGGAAAAGACAGGATATAAATAGCCTTTTAAACATACAAATAAAATTTCTGCCTCTCCACATGGCTAGGAAAGCAGGGAAGAAGAGCAAGTTCTGAAGTGCCATCTTAGATGTCCTTGTGGGCTGAAGTGTGATGGGGGGAGGAGGGGGGCTTGTGTGCAAGCATCTGGGGTGCAAGAAAGCAGTTGGGAAAAGGATGCTGGCCAGAATCCCAAAAAATAGGCATTTCAGATAATTAATGCTCTTGAAATAAAGTGCTGGGGAATTGCATGGTTTCATAAACTTTAATCTGAAGCTGAAGAGAAAGGCAGAAAAATGAGAATATGCTTACTGAAATCAATGAGGAACCTGCCATAGCCCTTGCGCTGGTACTGGGGAAGAATCATTATGCAGGAAACATTGTATTTCTGCTGGCAGTGCTTCTCCTAGTAAGAGAGACACACACACACAAACACAGAAGATTAGCAAGATGGAAAAGAACTTCTTCTCGATGAGGAATTAATTGGGGTAAATCACAATCACCCCAAAAGCAAGTCTCCAAGGAAAGAACACAAGGCATTATCAAGCCACTGAACCTCTGTGATCACAGCCAGGAAGGAAAAGGAAGAGAGAACTGTCACTGAGCACACAAAGTTGCTTTCTGTAAACCTGTATCATTCATGTACCTAGTGCAGTAATGTCTACCACTCCAAGTGACAGTGGTTCTCCGGGGTCTCAGTCACATAGGCCCTCCCAGTCCTGCTACCTGTGATCCTTTTTAGTTAAAGATGCTCAAGAATGAACCTGCACCACCACCAGAATCATGGCCCCTCCCCTGTAATACATCATTTCAGGACCTTGTACTTACAGCAAACTTCTCTCCCTACTTCTCTACAAAGGGCTTTTCAAATCCTCAGAGATTTCCAAAGCAATAAAGAACCTTTGTGGGGGGTGGGGGTAAGACAAAATAAAAGTCCATCTACAGGTGGGCTTGTGGGGGGGGGGGGATAGGATGGCCATAGATTAAGGCTACATTGTTTCCTTTTCTGAAAGTGTTGTAAAAAACAACTTCTATTTTTTTGGGGGGGGGTGTTAAGACGGGCCTTTCAAAGTAACTCTCTGTCCCTGTGTGAGGAATACTAAAGCCACATTCAGCCTCCATGGTCTCTTTCCCAAAATGCAAACAAAAGCTCTGAAATGAGATCAGCATCTGATTTGAGAAGCAAGCTCATTGGAGGTAACAATTAATGTTTACTTCACCAACTAACTCTCCTCCTCACCACCCAAGGGACTAGGAAGTCATTTAAAACCCTCTCCCCTCAGAGCTGCCAGGCTGGAATTCATGCTCCTTAGAGAATACACTCTGTTCAACAGCATAAAAAAGAAAGCTGCTTTGATTAACTGCTTCAATTCCCTGGATTCTGCTTATGCAGAACTTTAAAGGCTGTTTGGAACCCATAAAATTATACCCATCACTTCAGAAGTGTGACTGGACACTAGTTTGGTTAGATCCACTACACTAAGGAGGGAGAAAATTTAGATCTGCTGAAAAATGACTTTCAGTTTACGCACAATTCAAATCCAATTATATTTTCTTGGATACGAGTCATACCAGTGTGAATAGACTTTTCCAGAGGTATAGCCAGTCTTATCACACACAAGACTTGACAGGAAGAACAAAAGAAAGTTTATAGTCTTTTTGCACACACTAGGTATTTGGCCATAGTCAGGGTTGTGTGTATGAAGCAAATCCACACAAGCACAAAAAAGTGTGGAATGCAATTTTGGGTGCAGAATTCAGTTTACTGAGAGTTTCAGTCTCAAAAAGACATTCCCAGCCTTTTTTCTTTTAAGTGCAAGCATAGGCATGGGAAAGTATATGGCCAAAGCTCCTGCACATGTCAGCAGGAAAAGTTCCAGGAGTTAAGCAAGGGCCTGTAGTGCCTTGTGCCTCTCCTCGTGATTAGCAAAAACAGAGCAATCAATTAAGCAAAAGCTTCAGAATCCAGCTTTTCACCACCCAATATTTGGATTAACTTGGTGCAGATTTTTTAAAAAGTGCATGATAGATATGCTCCTGGTTTATAGTTCCCTTAGGTCTTGTCAGGACACCAACAAGTGGAGACCCCCCCACTGCTCACCTTGGAGAAGTAGCCAACCAGGTGGCAACCCTTCGTGTCATTTTGCGTCAGCACATAGAAGAGAAATGGCTCCACATCATAATAGAGCGTCTTGTGATCCAGGAAGAGTTTTGCTAATAGACACAGGTTCTGGCAGTAAATGGTACTGACGTTGCCATCCACCTTAGAAAAATGGAGAACAGGTCAAGATACTATCCCTCATGAACTGCTAGCAGGCCACAGCACAAAGTGATTTGCTTAAATCAAGTAGGATTATACCAAACAGACACAAACCATCTAAGGACTTGTAGCTTCAAGAACTAAAGGATGCAGCCTGAGGTAAGTAGTCACTTTGAGGAGAAGCCCAAAGCGGCCAGCGCTCCTCACACTACCAACCTTTTCCTAAGAGGGATGTACAACATAAAATGCCAATACACTTCTGTTTTGCAGCCAATCATTACTGAATGGAATGAGACACTCATGAAACATTACAAAAGTAAGACAGTTCTGGGTTGTTGTTTTTTAAAAACTGGGCTGCCCTCAGCCTCCCAAAGAGGGGATTCTAGCCATGATTAGAGCCCATTACAAGGGAATTAGGTTCCTACAACAGTTCTTCTCTGGGAAGCTCACAGCAGATGATGCCCGAGATTCAGGCAGGGACATAAACAGCAGCTAATAATCTTTGACACTTACCTCAAAGACTGAAACATTGCTCTTCCTGTAAATTTCATTGGCTGGGGGATGAAACCAGCCACACTTCTTCATGTGTTGCTGAAGGATAGTTCTGCTTTTCATATACTTAAGACAGAATTCACAAATGTACAGCTTAGGCAGCCTGCAATATTAAAGGCATGGATGAATTGAGCAGTTTTGCAAGGTTACAACTTGAGGCAATCAGTACTGTTATCTCTACTGTGGCAATTCCCATAAAGGTCCATTGTCTTAAAGCTGGGTATACAGGAGGCAATACAGAAACAAAAAAAGCATAAGAGCAGGTTAAAATGTGTATTTGGTTGGATTCAATTACTGAGACTGAGGGTCTTAACAAAGACCTCTTAGGATTACTTCTAGCCTAAAGTTCACCAAGGGTGTCCATCACTGGATATGAAGGGACCCCGTAGGCCCCTTTCCAGTACCCTTAATTTATGCAACTGGCAACTGGAACATACATAGGAAGCTGCCTATTATCAAGTCAGACTTATTGGCCCATCTAGCTCAGTATTACTTCCACAGGCTGGCAGCACTCCCCTGGGTTTCAAACAAGGGGCCTTCCTAAATCTACCTGGAGATGCTGGTGATGAAACCTGGAACCTCCTGTATGCAAAGCAGATGCTGTACCACTGAGCTATGACCCTCCCCATCATACAAATTTCAATAAAATAGAAATTCCGCTCTTCTGTTTCTTTGCTGCACGGCACAGAAAATAAAGAACACTTACATCTACAAAATGTTTAACAAAACAAAGTCTTTCAGTATGTTAATCCCAAAGATAGGAGGAAGCTCAGCTCTGATTATTCTGAATACTTCTTTCAGTTATCACTAAATATTGTCTGGTTTTCCTTGGTTATAAGTAGAGCAGATCTGTACCTATACTGTATGTGAAGATGATCAGAGAAACGATGAACCCAACACAATTTGACATGCTGACATTTCTGTGCTTGTGTTTGTTTAAAATCAAGTTGCCAACTCTCACAGTTGCAAATGCAATGCCTTTACTTCAAGAAGAAAATCAGTGGCAGAAGGATCTGAGGGGGGCCGGGCAGTTTCAAAATCCTGTGTCTCCAATCCTTGCTACTATTTTTGCACACCAGCCACTACACTCAAATTTCCATGCTCTTTGCTCTTTCCTCCCCCCCCCCCCATGTCACAGTGCTTACTAAAATATATTAATTCTTTGATAGCTTCAACCTTAAAAAAAAAAATGCTACACAAGCAAATACCTATATATATAATATATACATTGCATGATTTAACTTGGTTACACATTTGGTTTGTTCAGAGGACATCCAGTCCTAATTTTAAGGAAGAGCATGTCTTTACAGTATGAGCTTGTCAGGCTTAACACATAGTTACACTTTATTTCCTACTCTTGCTAAACATTCAGCTGCATAATGTAAACTGTATAATGGAGAGGAGGCCTGTGTTGTACCTGGAATACTCTTGTGGGTATGGAGAGGAATACCAGGTGTGGATTTCATATTTCCCAAACTCGATGACTGATGGAGAGCGGACTTGTGGATCAGGGGCTCCTGTTACTCCTACTTTCTGTAAAAGAAACAAATATCTCTCCAAGTTAACAACAACAAAAGCACTACTTAACAGATCCAGCAATCCAGGAAAGAAGAAAAAGCTTTGGGATAGCACAGTTTTCTTCCACTGAACTACAGTGGTACCTCGGGGTTAAGAACTTAATTCGCTCCGGAGGTCCATTCTTAACCTGAAACTGTTCTTAACCTGAGGTACCACTTTAGCTAATGAGGCCTCCTGCTGCCGCCGTAGCACGATTTCTATTCTCATCCTGAAGCAAAGTTCTTAACCCGAGGTACTATTTCTGGGTTAGCGGAGTCTGTAACCTGAAGCGTATGTAACCCGAGGTACCACTGTAATTCACAAAGCAAGAAAAATATAAAGCCAGGTGTGCCAGTAAAAATGCTAGTCCAATCCGTCTTAGCATTATGCTTGCCTGTTAAGAGTAATCTAAAGGAATTACCATATTTTTCGCTCTCTAGGACGCACCCGACCATAGGAAGCACCTTGTTTTAGAGGGGGAGAACAAGAAAAAAAAAATATTCCCCTCTCTGCTCAGTGTGCCTTCAGCGAAGCGGCAGGAGAAACGGAGCCCCTTCCATTTCTCCTGCCACTTCGCTGAAGGGGCGCTGCGCAGAGAGGGGGAGAATTTTTTTCTTGTTCTCCCCCTCTAAAACAAGGTGTGTTCTGCACATTCAAGGTGCGTTCACCTGAAGCCTCCGGAGGGCAGCGGACATTCCCGCTGCACTCCGGAGGCTTCAGGCGGCTACCTTGGAAGCCTGGAGAGTGAGAGGGGTCGCTGCGCACTGCCCCTCTGGCTCTCCAGGCTTCAGTGAAGGCAACCCGAAGCCTCAGGAGCGCGGCGGGAGTTCCCGCTGGGCTCCGGAGGCTTTGGGTTCCTTTCAACCTGCTCTTTGGGGCTGGCGGGGGGAAGCGCTGCTTTCCCCCACCGCCAGCCTCAAAGACCAAGTCGGGGAGCAGCGCAAAGGCTGCATGCAGCCTTCCCGCTGCCCCCCAGCTTGTGGGGCTGGCAGTAGGGTGAAGCGCTGCTTTCCCCCACCGCCAGCCTCAAAGATTCTGGAAGCCTTCGGAGCGCAGCGCGAGTTCCCATTGTGCTCTGCAGGCTTCGGGTTCCTTTTGCTGAAGCCGGGAGAGCAAGACTCTCCTGGCTTCAGCGAAAGGAACCTGAAGACTCCAGAACGCAGAGAGAACTCGCGCTGCGCTCCGAAGGCTTCAGGCGGCTATCCCTGAAGCCTGGAGAGCAAGAGGGGTTAGTGTGCACCGATGCCTCTCGCTCTCCAGGCTTCAGCGAAAGCAATGCGAAGCCTCCGGAGCATGGAGGGAGCGCTCCCTCTGCGCGTCGGAGGCTTCGCGTTGCTATCGCTGAAGCCAAGGAGCCTGCATTCACTCCATGGGACGCACACACATTTCCCCTTAATTTTTGGAGGGGGAAAAGTGCGTCCTATAGAGCGAAAAATACGGTAATAGCCACTTAATGAATCCAAGGAAATAAGTGACTCCTGAAAAAGCAAAAGGGAGGGAAGGAAGCAGGGGCAGGCAGGCCTGTATCCCAAGTGCACCTGTAATAGACAGCACAGAACCTGGTTAGGAACTGCAACAAAAGGCAATGGGTGACCTACAAACCTACAAACAGGGTTTTGTTTTGTGTAAGTTTTCAAAACTCAAGATGCAACACCTCTCTCTCAAGAATATTTACATCAAACCAGAAAAGTGTCACCAAAAGAAATATATAGAAATACCACAAACTGTATCCTTCAATTTTTCAGAGCACAAGGGGGCTTTTTCGTCCCCGCGGCTCTAAAATTATACAAGGCCAAAACGTTGGCACAGCTCCTTTATGGATCCTTTCTGGGCCCACCTTCCTCTGCTTTCTCCCCCCTCGAGAGAGTTCAATCCAAACTCCTTAGAGCTCTCCTACAAGTCCCCAGATGCATTTCAAACGCATGGGTTAGACTAGAAACAGGGATGATGAGAGTGGAGGCTTCTATCTGCCTAACATCAATCTACAAATGGCTGACACTGAATCTGCTCCCCCCAAGGGATAGCCCCACTGATCTTCTGCGACCAATTCCAGTCAGGCTGGCAGACTGCAGTCCTGAACACCCTTCAGAAACTGGGTTTTGCCCTTCAAGCCCTTCTGAGCCTGGGGTTGGGCCAGGCAAAAGCAATGGTTAGGCAAAGAATTATAGACACCGAGACACAACAGGAGTGCTCAAGGTGCCCCAACTATAAAATTGGAGAAATCGAGAGAGATATAGCCGCACTGGCAGCATATCTCGTCTTTCTCGTATCTAAAAATGCAAGAAGGGCTTTTACACTCGCCAGAAGCTCAGCTCTGCCCTCGCCAGTCCTGGAAGGAGCCTTTTAAAAAGTCCCATATTCTAAGAGATCTTGCACCTGTTCACTGGGGGAGATAGGAAGCCCAGAACACTTGTTCTTTAGATGTCTCTCTTATGAAGAGGCACGTAGTAAGACCATTGATCCCCTACTGGTGAGGTTCGCTAACCTCACAAAAATTTGACCTTTTTAACCTCGCAAATATTTTAACCTCACAAAATTTTGACATTTTCCTGTTAGGCAAAGATCAGAAGACGACCTGGATGGTTGCCAGATTCTGTGTACAGGTCTGCAGGCGCAGACCATCTCCCAACTCAAACTAGTTTGTTAAGAAAATCCCCAAACTCGGTTTCATGGGTGACTCTGGGTCAACTCCCTGTGGTAGTTTATTGTTGTACATTGTTTTAATTGTTTGTTTTCCTTCTGTGACTGTACCCCCAAGTGTGTTTTATAAGCTGGTCTCTGACCATAATAAATTATCTATCTATCTAGAAATACCCAGATTATGGGGAGCTATCCAGTGGAAGATGCAATGAAATCAAGTATTTCATGTCCACTTATTTCAATGGGTCTATTTTGCGCACAACATAGTTGGGTATCATTCATTAAAAAAAATATGGCAAAGGTGTTTTGCAAGAAGAATCATGGCCATCAACCCTTAAGGAAATTATCTTCCTTTGGGGCAATCTGCACACCTCTGGCCTCCATTGTTATTTTTCATGCATGTATAAGGTAAAATATAGCTTTCCCTTTCTACCCACCCCCTCCCCAGACACATTTTCTTCCTTATATACACTATGAAGAATTGAGGATGCTTTGCAAATTACATCTACAAGCAAAGGCTCAGGAGTGAATGGAAGAGAGAAAATGCTGGTTAGACTTCCAACACTCTTTTCTCTCATTGTATATTGAGAAAAATAAACTATACATTAAAAAGACTTGCTTAGTGGTGATATTACTATTATGTCTTGCATCCTAATACACCTGTAAGTTCTGTAGTGTGTGTTCACATTGAGCTCCTAGTGCTGTTTTTAGTGACAGAAGTATTTCAAATCCCAGGACATTTGGAAACATCAAGTTCTAAACAAGTGCTAAAAGCATTTTATCTATTATGGAAGGTCCATCTCTTACCTTCCCTCCCTTTGCACACACCCACATTGCTTCAGCACTACGAAGTCAGTGCAGGTAGTCCCTCAGTGGGGGCCAGTTAGGTCAGCTTAGCCAACACAGAAACACTTGCTTAAAGCAATTTCTTTTCCCCTTTGTTTTTCTATAAACTACAGGGCACTTTTCAATGCTCAGATGCAGGAAGTGGCATCTGAGTCTCCTCCTTTCTCTCACACACAGCTCAGTTCAAGTGCAATCCCACGCTATACTTAGGTGGTTCAACAAGCCTCACACACCTGCCTCTACCCCTCACTGTAATCCAATTATTCAATTGAAAAACTATGGACTGTGCTTGCTCTACCAAGCAGGACTTTAACTCAGTCTGCATGCCTGGTTTGGAGGGCAACTAGAGTTAAAGTCTGCCTCTGTTTGGCTGGAACTGCAAGGTAACCCCATGTAGTGCAGCATTGTGGGACTGGAGGGAGGGCAGGAGCACCCAACTCCAAGTTTTGCTCATAACACTCCAAAATGAGGTTTGGTGGTGCGAGCACCAGTCCTATAATTTAATTATAACATGGGGTGCCATCAGTTCATAAATATTTATAACTGTGGCCCCAAAAAACCATGATTTATTCGACTGAGAAAAACCATCGTGCCCATGTGTTTCCACCTCGTTCAGACTGCATTTTCAGACTTTGTTTGTAGTCTAAGATTTAACCAGTTTCCCAGTTTGGAAGTAACAGTAAACAATGGTTTTAACGAATGCTGAAAGTATTTCAGTGCAGTGCAAGAGAAAAAAGAGCATGCAGGTATAACACTCATTCTCAGTCTTATAAACCATAGCATATTTGACTGAAATTCTTTCATCTGTCGGAAAGCCTTGGGGGTAGAATAGAGCAGATAAATAAATAAATAAATAAATAAATCCAAATAAATGGCCTCAGTGACCAAAAATGCACCCTTAACACAGACTGCAATGACAGAGAACTTACACCTGTAACTGTGTAGAAAAGATTTCTAATTTAATTTCAGAATATAAAAGTGCTAAACAGGAACTGGTGACCAGCTTATGTCTTGAAATAATATTCATACTGATTTACTCTTTACCCAAACTGTGCTAAAAGCACTTTGGAATTCTCTATCATGAGAGATACTGATGGGATTTTTAAAGGACAGCGTTCTCCATCCTGGTCCCTTCCAGATGCTTAGAACTCAAACTCTCTTTATGGTAGTTGTAGTTCAAACATGTGGTGGTGATCAAGATGGGAAAGGCTGGATTAGGATAAGAGCTGGGTCTAAACCACTGAGCCGAGGGCTTGCCAATGATAAGGTCAGTGGTTCAAATCCCCAAGACGGAGTGAGCTCCCGTTGTTTGGTCCCTGCTCCTGCCAACCTAACAGTTCGTAAGCACGTCAAAGTGCAAGTAGATAAATAGGTACCGCTCCGGTGGGAAGCTGAATGGCGTTTCCATGCGCTGCTCTGGTTCACCAGAAGTGGCTTAGTCATACTGGACACATGACCTGGAAGCTGTCTGCGGACAGTAAAGCTCCCTTGGACAGTAAAGCGAGATGAGTGCCGCAGCCCAAGTAGTCCACGACTGGACTTAACGGTCAGGGTCCTTTTACCTATGTCTGACTACCAGGAGAAGGCTCCTCCCATGAATAATAGAGACCCCTGGCTGGCCAGTGCTAGAAACAGGATGCTGCACTATGATGGACCTTTGGTACAATTCAACAAGGAAATCCTTCTATTTTTATACAAAAGTTAAGGCAGAACCATTTTTTCTCCAAAAGTTTGTAGACATTTCTTGTTTTGTCATTTTTCTTCCACCTTTACATTTGAATAATCTCAAAGCAGCAATAAGGAAACAGCTATATTCACCAAATCTCTTTATTCTTCCCTCATATCTTGCCATGCCAGAAAACAACCTGATGTACCTTTCCACAGCAATACACAAATAAAATCTCTCAGTTACTTAATAGTGTGCACAATAGCAAGTCCAACTGCTCTAAACATCACCTCTTCGCCACTGATTGAGTCCCAGGGCTCTTTCTTCCCCTTTTCTTTTTTAAGGAAAAAAACCTGAGGGATTGGATGGGTTTTCCTAAGGGAAAGGCTGCAACAGCCAATTTACTTTCCCTAAGATACAAAATATCCTCAGTCAAAAGAGAAAAAAGCACACAATAGCCAAATCAAAATCATGTTTGATGCTAGAAACTGTCTTGTAATTGGCTCCACAAATATAATGGGTAGCAAAAGTTCAATCACCCAAACTGAAACTCAAGAATTCTACCACCTGATAGAAGCCAATTTAAGAACACATCATTCCATGGAAGAATGAGAGACACACAATACAGTATCTATGAAAATCCACAATTCAAAAAACGTAGTTTAGAATTGCTAATCCCAGACAGGACAGCGTTGAAATTACTCAGCTCACAGTCTGTTGCCAACAGAACCACACTGGTTTACATGGAGATGCTTCAAGGATGCTCTCAGACCGCACCTGTGGCACTGCCTTGCATGTTTGTGCCTTCTGGATGGCCACTGAATTCTCCTCCAAATAGATGCCTGAGATAAAGGTGGAGTCCCAGTTCCAGTACAACTGCTTGCACATCATAACAGCTCAAAGTCCCATCAAAGCAGACGTCCAGCTCCCACAACGGTGGCACCCGGCCACAGATCACTCCCTCCGGCAGACGGTCTCTCTTCAACAACTCAGCCAGCCATCCTTGCACCTCTGCTCAGCGTATTCCAATTTGCTCAGGTGTGGCACCCTGCTCTACCTGGATACGCACTGCGTCAGCAGCTCAGCTGAATTTAACCCAATCCTTGCCAAACTCACACTCACAAGTCTTTGCAAAGTTACGGTATATACAATATCAGCAAGAAAAGAGAACAGTAATATTTATCAGAAGTTGCAAAGAGACGTAGGGCTGCTTAGTAACTCATGAGCAAGTACTCTGGATTTTACACCATGCTATATATGCTAAGCAATTACTTTCAAATATCAGAAGTCTACATTGATCAGAGATTAACTAGTTTGTGCTGTCTGAAAGGCCTGAAGCTGGCTGACCAAAAAAAACCTATTACAAAAATAATATATTTGCACCAGCCATTCTAATTTGTGCACAGAGTGCACCTATATAAACACAACTAAATATAAAAGCGTCAATTTCAGAGGACATCATTGTTGTCCTTACTTTAATGGCAGAAGCTAAAATATTTGTGGTCTTTGCTGTCACCAGCTTATCTTGGTCTATAAGAGAAAATTCATGTAATAATCAACTAAACCTCCTGGATGAGATAATGATGAGCAGTGTTAGAAACTCAGATATACAAGCCAGGTGCCAAGTGACACCTTAAACCTTGGTTATGGCCACCAGAACGGAATGTCTATTCACCAGGGGGTTGGACTAGATGACCCTAAGGATCCCTTCCAACAATTCTACGCTTCTATGATCTCAACTACATTGCTTGACTGTCCCAATATGTAAGAAGGAGAAATGCAGCAGAAATGGAAAAGATGTAAACTATGGACTAAGGCAGAGGTTTTTAAACTGTGGTTTGTGAGTTCCATTTGGGTGGCCTGTGGAAAGGCTGTAGCACAGTCAAATAGATCTGTATTCAGTCCTGCACTTACTTTCCTTTATGTGATGATGGAGGACTAAGGTGCCCAGCAAGGGGTCCATGATTTGCATAGCCGCGCAGAAGCACAAGACACAACTTTTACTGCACATGAGTCATCTGGCTCGATTGAGACGTCAGTCACCAACCTGGCGCCCAGAAATCTCCATGTAGTTGCAACTGGACCCTTGCCAATAGCAAACGTGCATAGTGCACAGTGAATTCCAAACACTGGTGATGAGGTGATTACCTCTTTAAGCAAATATTTGTAAAAACAACATACTAGCAACACATGAGCCTTTGTTTCTGTATTCCCATCAACACATGGATATATATGACCTTGGAATCTTCCTGTTACAGAAATACCAACAAGCTTTCTTTTCCATTTCTTCATCTGCTTACTCCAAAGGTTCTACTGGCTTTTGTATTTGTCTTCTTCCAGGCAGAGGGTCATCAACACCTCCCAAGAAACAGAACCTATAAGCCTCCTTTCCCCTGCAGTTTTGAAACAGGACATATTGTATCTGTACCAATACAGCCATGAAGGAGCTGAAGGGCCATGCTTAGACAGATGTGCACAAACATGGAATATTGAACAATCTACCATGACTCTGCATTAAGCCAATGTCCTTTATACAGAACACTGAAAAACAAGCAAACTCCCCTCAAAAATGCCAGGCAAGACCTTGCAGAATTCAATGTGCACTAAAACAGGGAGGAAGAAATGTCCAATAGAAATGGAAACGGGAAGGTACAGACTTGTTCTGATTCAGTTTTGAAGCAAGCAAAGCTATTGTATAGCTTTGGCATGCAAGTCTTACAATCTTGGACAATCCTCAATCTCCACTCATCAGCCCCATGTTTCTGGGCTATAATATTTTAAGTTTGCCTCAGAGCTGCCTGCTGATCTCTCACCAGCATCACACCTCATCACTTCTTATCAACTGGCTGGTTCCCAGAAAATCCTCAGTAAACTACCTGTCTCAATCTTCTCAGTACTATGCATCTTATGACTAATATACCCCTGTAAAAAGGTAAAGGAACCCTGACAGTTAAGTCCAGTCACAAACGACTCTGGGGTTGTGGCACTCATCTGGCTTTACTGGCCGAGGGAGCTGGCAGCATTTGTCCACAGACAGTTTTTCCGGTCATGTGGCCAGCATGACTAAGCCGCTTCTGGCGCAACGGAACACCAAAACCAGAGCAGCACACGGAAACGCTGTTTACCCTCCTGCCGGAACATTACCTATTATCTACTTGCACTTTGACGTGCTTTCGAACTGCTAGGTGGGCAGGAACTGGGACAAAGCAAAAGGAGCTCACCCTGTTGTGGAGATTCGAACTGCCGACCTTCCGATCGACAAGCCCCAGGCTCAGTGGTTTAGACCACAGCACCACCCGCACCTCTGTAGGAGTCTACTAACCATAGCTTAGCATGCAAGCTTCATTCAATTTTACCTGCAGTGCTTGCTCCTGAATATCTCTGAACAACTCCATATCTTTCTCAGTCATGACATCTGGACCTCCAAGAAGCCATTCTTCATTTTCCTGTTTTCCATCCCAGCCATCCTGATTGTCTGAAAATGAACACACAACGACAAATGGAATTTCCTGAAATTAAGCACCTGAATATGTAAGGTGGTCACAGGATAAATAACTATCTAAAAGGGGTTATTGCACTTATTGCACTAAGAAGTTTTGAAGTTCATGGCAGGCTACCCCTTTAGACTAAACTGTGACATACCAACATAGACCCTTCCACCCCACCACCTGGCAGCTTCAGTTCTTCCAGTGGTATAACGATTCCACTCTCACCCATCAATACTTCTTGGCTTTGGGAGAAGGCATAGTCCCCTGGACTGTGGAAATGTGCTCTCAGTCTAAACCAACCTCACATGGCTGTTGTGCCAGGAAAATGGGGAGGAGAACTATATATGCCACCTTGAGCTCCTTGGAGGAAAGGTGCAATGTAAGTCTAATAAAATAAATAAATATTCTTACAATCTTAACAAACACAAAATAATACACACTAACCTCCACTGCTTGGACTGCTGTCCACAAATGAAAAGATATATTATGATGATTTTAGCATATACACTTTGCCAAGGTTCTGTGGTGTATTTGAAGATGACCCTTTAATTGTACGTGGTTATATACATATATATATATATATATTCTACTGCTTCCACCCAAGTACCTTCAACAGAATGTATTGTGCCCCAACATTTATGATAATGTAAAAAAAAAACAAAGTGTTGAAGTTTCTTCAGAATCTGTTCTCAAATTGAAAATTAGAAGTCCAGAAAGTAAGACGAGATAATACCCTCTACAATTAGCTACCTGTAGGCCAGTCAGAAGTGCTTGATTTCCTATTGTCTTTTCTCCTGATCCTATACTGCTGAGAGTAATCCACCACTTCTCCTCGAGCTTTACGCCCATCAGGGGATGGGGTGAAGAATTTGGTAAGGCCATCAATGAGCCCTTTGGTTTTCTTGTTGAATTTCAAGGTGGTGCTTGCATCTCTGCAGAATTCCAGGCCGTCGATTTGCTCCAAATAGCCCTCTTCTGACGAACAAGTTGACTGGCTGGATAGGGGAGTCTTGCGCTTACGACCTCGACCAGGTCCCGTCTGAACTTTGCTGAAGGGGGCTTTTGATCTAAACAAATAGTAAAGTGGGTAATAGAGACTTACAGAAAGAGAAGCTATGCAGGGTATTGGCCAGCTGATAATTTCAAATTCTTCCTTGGGCAATAAAGATACCTGCAGTGCAATTTAATGGAAGCAAACCCAGAAGCAAACCCAACTCTGTTCAATGAAGCTCACTGTATGGTTAACTGTACACAGAACTGGAGCCTTCCCAAATTTCTCAGGAATCTGGTATTCTGAATAAAAATTAAGTGTATAGGAGTTATGTACTTAATCCCGCCCCCCCTACCAAAAAGACGCCACGAGAACTCAAGTGTTTAAGAGCAGTGTATAATGATCCTAATGGCAAGGCTTGTTTGACCCTTCAGATAGTTTCCCTCCCACACCTTTCTGACATGGAACTCTAGAGCAAAATTGGAAGCCATCTAAATATTCAAAAGCAGCAGTGACATGGATCATGTCCTGTGTTCTGTAAAGCAACAATCCAAGCACCCTCCAGATTTCATGGGTGTGGAAAAATCTTGAAAAGCAAGTGAGACAGAGTACTCCACTAATGGCAGCAGAACATTCTGCCAGTCTAACTTGAGAGGCTAGAAGGGTTTGTAGTGCAAGAAACATAGTTATATATTGCCTCAAGCTAACAGAGCAAAGTGGATGCTCAAACTTATTTTATTGAAGGAGGGAAGCTCATCGCTTACTTTAGATTCAGTGGGAATGCAAGCTAAGAATGGCCATTGTTGTTATCTAGCATAGAGATCTACCTCCTAAGTAGAAGCTTGGGCTGCTTGAAATCAGCACCGGAAGTTTTTTTTACTGAGGACTAACTGCCTACACTGAAAGGTGTAAACAGACTTCTTCTACAAATAAAAAAAATGTGAAAACCAAAACAAATGCTGAGTTTTTGGTAGCTGGGAAATTAATGAATCCCACAAAGTAAAAGATATGCCTTGTGTCGCATTCAAAAACAAAAAGCATTAAAAATTTGGACAGAAGTACTCATAATCTTTCCAGAACACGTACCAAAATATTTAACCCAACAAAGAAGATGGAACATCTCTAACAACAGAACTGCACAGGTATCCATATTCACACTGTACCCACTGCCACCAAGTTTTGGAAAAACTTACGTTGCATTTTGGTTCTTTAATCGGTTTTTGGGACGTCCTATTGGGTTGGCATAACGCCGCTTTATCTGTGCTGCCTTCTTGTGTAGAAGTTTTCTTCCTTTTTTACGTGGCCGACATATCTGACATATCCACATGCCTGTAAAGTGAACAGACTCAGCATAATGTATGTCAACATCTGTTAGACCCAGAGAACAATACCGTATTATTTATATAACCTAAGAATAGCCCTGCTGGGCACGCAAGTGGCCCATCTAGTCCAGCCTCCTGTTCTCACAGTGCCCAACCAGATGCTCATGGGAAGCCCATGAGCAGGACAGGAACACAACAGCAATGCTCTCCCTGGAACTGTATATAGTACTGCTTGAGTGTTCAAACATTCAAATACATTCTCTGCAGACACAGAATCAGAGAGTTCCCTACGCCAACTTTTAACATATGGTAGTAGTATTATGACCCTGTACTGCAGATTTTTGAGGGGTGGGGGTGAGGAGGAGGAGCTGAGGCTGACAGACTTGTGGTTTCCCATGGAATACTCAGGATGAAACGGTGAAATCTGCTATGATTAAATGGGCACAAGATTTTGGACATAACATTATGTTTGCTGACTGGGAACAGTTGTGGACCACAGGTATGAAGTTTACGGCATGTAATGCTTTAAGAGAGAATATTATGAAAATGATATACAGGTGGTACATGACCCCAGTCAAGCTTGCAAAAATTTATCACTTGCCCAATAACAAATCTTGGAAATGTAAAGAAACTGAAAGTACATACTTTCACCTTTGGTGGACGTGCCCAAGGATTAAGGCTTTCTAGGAAATGATATATAATGAACTGAAAAAGGTATTTAAATATACCTTCTTGAAGAAACCAGAGGCCTTTCTCCTGGGCATAGTCGGCCAATTGGTGCCAAAGAAGGATAGAACCTTTTTTATGTATGCCACAACAGCAGCAAGAATACTCATTGCAAAGTATTGGAAGACACAAGATCTACCCACTCTGGAAGAATGGCAGATGAAGCTGATGGACTATATGGAACTGGCAGAAATGACTGGCAGAATCCGAGACCAGGGAGAAGAGTCGGTGGAAGAAGATTGGAAGAAATTCAAAGACTATCTACAGAATTATTGTAAAATTAATGAATGTTAGAATGATGTTGGATAGAAATTAAGTGGTTTCCAGCTGTAATGCTTTAAGGGATTATGAAAAATGGGTTGTTAATAGGTAAAAATTTAACGTTACTATTTTAAGACTAAAGATTAGGATAAATAAAGAGGGTAAGGATTTGCTGAACCAACAAATTGAACTGGAATACAAAAAAGGGAGGTATGAGGAGGTCAGGGAAACAAGCTAAAGGAAAACAAGTAATGGAAAATCTGTGTGTTTTTAATTATTTTTATTTTGTATTTTTGTTATTTTTTTCATTTTTATTGTAATACTTTAAAAAAGCTGAATAAATATCTTATTAAAAAAAAATGACAGACTTGTGGTTTCCCTAAGGAAACCTAGTAAGCTCATGGAAAAGGCCAGATTCAAGCCATGGTCTTCTTCATGTCTCGCAGCTCACACTCTTATTCACTACAACACTATCTGTAAAGTTATTCAGAACTCTTAATCAAGCCTATGCTACTATTCTGTTCTGCCTGTTAAAGACATCTATAATTTGAAGGCTAAAAGGGTTGTTTGTGTGAGTTTCTCCCCCTGCAGCATCTTTTAACCCTTTCTTACCTTTTGGCATCCTGGTCAGAGGGGGGTCACAACATTCCATGTGAAAGCCACGATCACATGAGTCACAAAATAGCATATTATCCTGCGAAGCACAGAAATTTCAAGTTACTGCAATTCAAGCACTTAGACCAAGAACACTCTTTTCTGTTGTCATCAAATATAACCACTATGATTCTAGGCTGAGAGGGGGTATTCCAGGGGCAGACTGGTATCTTCCTGCCTGTGCAAGGATGAGGAAGGGAAACTGCAAGAAATATATAATCAGAAGCTGCAATTACGCTGTGGCCCTCACACTGCAGAGGGACCGTGTGGGCAGGCGGCTTGTTTAAACTGCTCTGTTGAGGGGCAAGCGGCTGCCCATGCCTCAGCAGAGCAGTCTAACGAAGCTTCGACTCTGGCTCACATGTATGGGTATGTAGGCAAAGAGGCAATCCTGGTCTCAAACTGTATAGGGCAGGCATGTCCAAAGTCCATTGGGGGAGCCCTAATCTGGCCCGCCAGTCGGTTTAATCCAGCCCCTGTGGCAGTTTATTTCTTGGGGTAAAATCGTAAAAAAACCCTCAACAACTGAAAACCTAAAAGCAGCTCAACAACTTCAATCCCAAAAAAAGGTCAACAACCTTGGTCGGCCCTTTGGTTGGCCCCCACGGCCCTTCATTTCATCAAATCTGCCCTACTTTGAAAAAAGTTTGGACACCACTGGTATAAGGCTTTGTACACCAATACCGGCCCCTTGAACACAGCACGGTAGCTAATTGTCAGCCAGTTAGAGTAGCAGTTACTACTTGCAAGTGCTGTTTCAAACGGTTTTCACTGCTTTATTTGTTTCTATTAATAGAATACTATAATTTCCTGCTCTGGTAATATTTTATTGAAAGGTTGGTTAAATATTTTCTAGATAAATATTTGCCTATAACTGTTATGCAATCAAAGGAATAAACACTGAATTAATGAGGCAGAAAGAATATTTTGTTTATTCTATTTACAAAACTTTTCTTCCTATAGTCCTTTAAAATATTTGTACCCTACTTTTCTGCTTAAAAATCATCTGAATTAGCATAAATGAGCACAAATGCAACCAATATATATTATTTTTAAAAACAATAGCTTGCAGAGAAAATTGCAGTAGAAACAAATAAACTCAAATCTTAAGTAGGAAGAATAACCAAGACCTCTCCACTAAACACTTCTGGAATAGGAAGTTTTAACCTGTTAGTAAAATGCAAGAACATAGCCTAGGTGCCATGGCCATAAAGGTCCTGCCATGCATACTAACCCACCTAACCTCAGAAAGTGGAGAGAGACAGAGCAGCACCAGCAGACTCTTTGGGGAGAAGGCAGACCCCCCTAAGATCTCAGGCTGTTCAGGGCTTTGAAGGTTGACGGCCAGAACTGGGCTCAGAAGCAAATAGGGAACCAACACAACCGATACGACAAATGCTCTCTGCAGAACCACCACAATTTGTAGCAATTAAAACTTGAACATACTTTTCCAGCACAGCATGCTGTAGTAGTTCAGCCTGGACGTTTGCACTGTGCACATGTCTATGGCAAGGTCAAATCTCACCGCCAACTGCAGAATCTCATGCAATTAGTTAGAATATGAACATGATCCAGAAGGTGAATGTCCAGGTACTCACAGCATTCTTGCCCTGATCTCGACAGGAACTGCATGTTTTGCACTCAATGCACTGCCATCGTAAGGCCTTCACACGAACTGTTAACTCTGGGGAGAACTTCAGGCAGGATGGATGACCTACACCAAGGTGAAAACAATTTCAGTTAAACTAAGTAGGAACAGCCTGTGCTCAGGAAGAGCAGAAGGTACAGGTTCTATTGCAGTTAACATTTGACATCTTAAAAAGACTCCAGTTCTGCCAGAGCAGTTCCGTGTGTGCTTGGCACTCTGGGATGAACCCACAATATGTGTTTTTGGAAGGGAAGTTGGTTTCTTGCCCAAACACTCAATATTCAGAGGAAAGAGGAAACAAAACCCTTGAGGAATTGCATGAATAGTTCTAACTGAAGATGATTCCAATATGTACTTAAGTACTTGCAGAAATTATGATGTGCCCAAATAATGCCAAAGAAGCCGTTCATGAGGTGAGCTTTGTAGATTAGTCCTGTCCCCCCAGCCTGCCAACACACCTTTATATTCAAAGGTGGAGCTTACTGGGTTTCTATGCTGGACACGCTGGAGGCAGAACCCTGTCCAGTTCATCCAACATAGTAGGTGGCAGCCAAGGCACAGATAGGTTCCTGCTTTCTTAGTGAGTCTCCTGCACTTCAGTGCTGGACATACAAAAGGAAAAGCTCCTTCCTGTGTATCCAGCATACAATTAAAGAAACCTGGTTCAATAACAGAGACACAGACTGTCATCAGCTCACCATGTTTCTGTTAAATGCAAAAAAGATTCATTGGCTGTGAGTCTAGCACAGAGCTTTCCAAACTTTTAATGTTGGTGACACACTTTTTTGACATGCATCATTTCATGACACAGTAATTCAGTTTTACTAGCAAACCGGAGGTTAAACTAACCCCTTTCCAGTGTTCACGCAACATACCTACACACTGCAGCCGACAGACATATGCTGCGACACACAGTTTGAAAAGCTCTGGTCTAACACATTAACATGGTGGGCTAATGGTGAAAGGGTAGAGCCCTTCTTGACTCCATTTCCAACCTCTTGGTTTCTATGGTAGGCAGGGAGCTTTACCTCCTATGCATCCAGTGCACTGCCAGAGGATGCCTGAAATGCTCTATGCCTATGCTAGTAAGCCACATAGTTTCTATGCTGGATGGGAAGGGGGGCTTCCATTTCTCCTTGACCAGCATGGGAACCATGTGGGAGGAGATGTCAGGAGATGTGAAGAGCACTCCATGCAGAAGCCCACTTCGTTTCTGCAATGGGTAGAGAGGAGGCAAAGCACCAACTTTCATGCACAATATATAAATGTGGTGGGTTGCCAGAGGACAGCCTGAGCATTCTGTTTGTCTTCTAGCAGCTCACTCAGTTGTCTGAGTGAAATTCCACCTACGCTCACCAGGCAAGCAGCTAAAAACAAAGCTGCATTAGGCTAAAGGGCACATCTGCAGGGGGCATTTTTACAAATTGTATTCCCTGCACATTGCATTTTTTAATAGAGCTGTTGGTGGTATCTGTGTGACAAAGAGTCTTCCCAGCCTACAATGAACCTTCTTTCCAAGCAACTTCTTGGAGTTTTGAAGCAATTCTCCAGCTGGGTTAAAAAGGTGTTATTTTTTTAAGTTAGCTTGTTAAATGTGCACAATGAATGCATTTGCAGGTCACCAATTCAATAGATCTCATTGCCCAAAATGCAGGCAGCCACCTACCACTATTGCCGCAATCAGCACAAGAAATGAGCTCTTCAGGTTTCTTTTCTCGGTTTTGTTCTTTTGTGCCAAGGCAGAAGCTGCAGATTGGGATTGGTTCAGCAACTGGCTGTGGGGGAAGGAGACGAATAATAGAGATTTTCATTAATTATATCATATTTGCAAAACATATACTGAATGAAGACATTAAAGCAGAGATAGCTAACTCAGGTCAAAAGTATTGAGACATAAGCAATTCGTTTCCTAGGGCAGTGTTAGAAAATCAGATATATAAGCAAGGAGCCAAATGGCTCCTTAAACCAAGGTTACAGTCACCAAAACAGAATGTTTAGTTGCCATTTTGGGGTAAAATAGCTCAGAAGTCTTGTTTTTCAAATGATGGATTGACTGTGATTGATTCTCAGTTAAACATCTGGCTAACTCAGACGACTACCTTGAGTCAGGTTAACTTTGAGAACTTAAAAGTCACTTGATTCAGGAACATGCCCACCTACACAGTACATTGGCCTATTCCAATCTCTCTTTCTTAATGGTGACATAATAACGTAAGAATATTCTTCACCACTATGAGAAGGACAGTGGGGTGGGGTAAGTGAAGACAAGCTACAACTAATAACTATAACTAGTAACTATAATGTTGTTTACTGCTACTGCTCAGGCTGCACACAGAAAAAGCATATTGGTTCCAGAAATTCATTCTGATTATGCAGATAAAATATAACTGATAGAATTCTACAGGGTGTGGTATGAGTGAGTGGAAAGAGTCAAGACCCAAGGATGATCAGAAATGCACCTCCAAATGGTGGTGATGTCAGGTGCCATCCTGGTGCCTAGGCATCTTCACTTGGTTGCAAGTGGTCGATAGCCAGGTGCAAAATGCAACTGGCACCTGGCTAATTTCAAACACTGTCCTAGGGTGTTAGACAACTACGCTTTATTCAGAGAGAAACTAATGGGTCTAATTTAATCATGGTCATTTATTTTAATGGGTCTGCTCTGAGTAAAACTTAATTGAAGACCACTCCTAGTCCCTGTCCCTACCTCAAAAATTCACAGAGCACTGCAGTGAAGATATATATACAAAGGAAGCCAGTTCCAAGTGATTGCAATGAGAGCAGACTGCAGATGCTGGGCCTGTATTGGTCACGGAGACCATTTTGAGTGGTACTCAGGACCTGATGTAAGTGTTGTGGTACAGACTGGAAAACAGTGACTACAATGCTATCAAATTCAACTTATAGGCAAGTGGGCAACTGCCAAGGAAGTCAAACAGTCACACAGAACTTCAAAGGAGAAAACTGAGGGCATTGGCAGAAAGGAAATAGAAAGGCAAAGTTAAATTTCTCCAGACTGCCATGAGGTTATTCAAAAGCATAATGAATGTTAAATTATATAATATATACCACAGATCAGGAAAGGTGCCACAAAGGTCTACAGGATGTGTGGCTAACAAGCAAAGTCAGTAACATAGAGGCAAGAATGTGTTTTTCACAAAATAGATGAGATGACAACAAAAAGCAACAAAACATTGGCAAAATAAAGGAAAGCTGACAACAAAAAATACAAAAAAGAATTTCAAGGAATTCATCACTAAAAACATTATGCCTGGTAATAAAACATTATTTAACAAATTAGAAGCAAGAAAAATGCTTAGGGATGATATTGGACATTTAGATGACATTTGGTCAAATATGTGCTAAGGGAGGAAAAGGAGACTAACGGGGAAATGAACGAATCCTTTCAACAGTAATCACGGCAGACAGGCAGAGCCCTGTGCCTGAGCTAGTCGGAGAAACCAGGGCAAAGAGTGGAGAAAAAGCATAAAGTCCTAGGCCTTAGTGACAAAACAAACCAACAAACAGGAACTTGAGAGTAGGAAAAAGTGAGCAGCTCCCACATTGGAGAAATATATAGTAAGTGGGGGTCAACCATGGATCTGTATTGGGACAAGCTGGAGTTGGGCTGGAAAGTGAGAAAGTCAAACCTGGAGGTGGCAACAAATTGATCAGGGTTCTAGAAACAAGAACTCCCAAAGGAGCTCTCCAAACTGGATGAATGGGAGCTAAAAAAGCAAATGCAGTTAAATGTCAGGAAGTGCAAAGTTATGCACATGGGGACAAAAAATCCTAACATACACAGCAATGGGTTCTGAATTGGTGATGGCTGGCCAAGAATGAGATCCTGGAGTTGTAGTGAAGGTATCAACCCAGTGTGCAGCAGCTGAGAAAACGGCAAATTCCATTTTAGGGATCATTAGGAGAAGGAGTGAGAATAAAACCACCCAAATCTTAATGCTGTTATATAACTCTATGGTCCACAGTTCTGATCAATGATCCCCAAAGAAGATACTGTAGAACTCAAAAAAGTGCAGAAGAGGATATCCAAAATAATAAAGAGGCTGGAACAACCTCGTCATGAGGCAGATTTACAACATTTGGAGCTTTTTTAGTTTAGAGAAAAGAGAAGTGAAAAGGGATAAATTACAGAAATGTATAAGATTCTCACACGGTGGAGAAAGTGGACAGAGAAAAGCTCTTCCTCCTCTCTCATAATACTAGAAGCCTGTGGGGTCATCAAAAGAAGGTGAATATTGGAAGATTCAGGACATACAAAAGGAAGTACTTCTTCACAACTATGGGAATCTGTAGGCACAAGGCATGGCGATGGTTACTGACTTGGACAGCTTTTAAAAGGGATTAGACAAATTCATGAAGGTAAGGCTATCAATGGCTACTAGTGGTGACAATTATATATGATTTTTAGTATCAGAGAAAGTAGGCCTCTTGAGTAAGAGAGTGTCTACTCATGTCCCATTTGTGTGCCTCTGACACACATTCACTTGGCCACTATGAGAACAGGATGCTAGACTAGATGGCCTGATCCAGCAAGGCTCTTCTTGTGTTTTTATTTTTCATGTGGAAAAGGTAATAGCAGTTCCACAGTTACCGTATTTTTTGCTCTATAAGACTCACTTTTCCCTTCCTAAAAAGTAAGGGGAAATGTGTGTGCGTCTTATGGAGCGAATGCAGGCTGTGCAGCTATCCCAGAAGCCAGAACAGCAATAGGGATTGCTGCTTTCACTGCGCAGCAATCCCTCTTGCTGTTCTGGCTTCTGAGATTCAGAATATTTTTTTTCTTGTTTTCCTCCTCCAAAAACTAGGTGCGTCTTGTGGTCTGGTGCGTCTTATAGAGCGAAAAATACGGTAATTCGTTCTGGAGTTCCGTTCTTAACCTGAAACTGTTCATAACCTGAGGTACCACTTTAGCTAATGAGGCCTCCTGCTGCCGCCGTAGCACAATTTCTATTCTCATCCTGAAGCAAATTTCTTAACCCGAGGTACTATTTCTGGGCTAGCGGAGTCTGTAACCTCAAGCCTCTGTAACCTGAAACCTCTGTTACCCGAGGTACCACTGTACCACTCTATTCTGCCTTGGTCAGACCACACCTGGAATACCGTGTCCAATTCTGGGCAACACAATTTAAGAGGGTGTTGACAAGCTGGAACATATGCAGAGGAGGGTGACCAAGACAATCAAGGTCTGGAAACCAAGACTTACGAGGAGCACTTGAGGGAGCTGGGTAAGTTTAGCCTGGAAAAGAGAAGGCTGAGGAGATATGATAGCCATCTTCAAATATCTCAAGGGCTGTTACATGGAGGAAGGAATAAGCTTGTTTTCTCCTGCTCTGGAGGGTAGAAATCAAAACTAATGGCTTCAAGTAACAAGAAAGGAGATTCCAACTAAACATCAGGAGAAATTTTCTGACAGTAAGAGCTGTTCAACAGTGGAATGGTCTCCCTCGGGAGGTTGTGAACTCTCATTTCTCATTTCTTGGAGGCTTTTAAGCATGGGTTGGATGGCCATCTGTCATGGATACTGTAGTTGAGATTCCTACATTGCAGGGGGTTGGACTAGATGACCCTTAGGGTACCTTCCACCTCTACAATTCTATGATGTGATGATTCTATGATTCTACTACACAGGGTTTGTCAGAGAAAAAAATGTATCACTTAATGCATTCCACCTGGAGCTCTTTGGAGAGAAATGGGAAGCGAATGTGATTAGTACTAACATTATTTATATATGTACAATGCAGGCCTTGAATACTAATTGACTATGGGGAATGAAAGCTCTCAGTCACCCCAACATACTCAGTCAGAGAAAATTCAATAGTAAAAAGGTTCCCACCTCCATAGATTAAATGCATTGCTTATTTTCGCACCAACTGATGGTTCATTTGTCTTTCCAATGTCCTTTTAAAATATATGAGAAAGCTACCCTCTTTCTTTCTTCTCTCCCGCTATAGCTTTATCTTTTTTTACTTTCACCAATGTGAATGTGATCAAGAATCCTAGTTTTCTTTTCAAAAGAGCCATCTAGCCTTTTTAGTTGCATAGACAACTTTTGAGCATGTACAAGCAAGCATGTCAGTGAGAATGTTTAGTCCCTAATAAGCTCTTCTCTGCTCTTAAGAAATGGTTTTTCTCTCTTAAGAAATCAACTCCGGCCCTCTAGATGTTTGGGACTACAATTCCCATCATCCCTAGCTAACAGGACCAGTGGTCAGGGATGATGGGAATTGTAGTCCCAAACACCTGGGACTATGCCTATGCCTGGATGCCTTCCAAACCATAAAAACTTTCATGAGCTGTAGTAAAGAACAAAAGCATGTACATTCCCATCATATAATCTTGATAGACACTCATCTACATAATCACAGTTGCCCTGAGAATGCAACAAAGGGAAGGGATAACTCTTTGGCCCCTGCCATCAGTTTCACCACTTCTACCACACCAAAACCACCAGCAAGGGAAGAATGGCTTCATCAGCTGGATATAAATGTTTGTTTATTCTGGGTTGTTAAACTGATTGTTCTCCCCCTTTCCATAGTGTTTGGCCTGTAGGTCTGAGTGCAGGATCTGTGTCTCATTGTTTGATTGATGTGAGCCTACTTTGGAAGGCAAAATTCATCTGTAGTGAGATAAAAATATAAAATGAAACAAAACATCATCCCTAAATTTCTCTCAGAACTGCAGCTGCCTACCCTCTTATTCCCGTCTTGTGTTCTGCTGGCTGCCATGAGTATTTTTCTCCTCAGTCTGCACTGCTGAGAGCAATAGAAACCTTCCTTCCATGGGACTGTTGCATCTGCTCTGCACTATCAAGACCTCTCAGCTTTTGCCTCCCAACCATATATATCACCATACTATTAACCAATGCTCGTCAAATGTGACAGGGCTTCATAAGTAGATGCTCACTGAGTATGCCACCTAAACATGATTACACAACACTAGAAAGAAAACTGTTTCATCTAGAGCACAAATTACTGTGCTAGGAATCTGCCCATTAAAAAGAAATTTCGAAACAACTACACATCTATTTTCATTGAAATCCTTTTGCCCAAACAACTACTGTGAGTGCTGAATTGAAGCTAAGCATCATTTTGTTAGTCTTTCAAGAACCAAATAACTGCAATTTATCATGACTGCTTTGGCCTTGCTTTGCTGGACCTATCAACTTTCTCATTCTTTCCCCAAATCACAGAGATAGATGTATGTTCTCATTTTGATGAAGTTTAAGGACAATCACATTCATAAAGTTGGCTGCATCTTCACTAGTAGGTATATAAATCTTCACTAGTAGGTATATAAATCATTAGCCAAACAGGTGAAAAAACCAACCTTGGTAGGGGGCTCTCTTGCTTGTGAATAAGACAAAGACACTGCTGCCAAATTTATTTTGCCACAAAACTGATGTAAGGGATTTTGCAATACCAGTGCAGTTACAAATGAAACTGTAAATGTATACATGGAGTGAAGAACAACAAGCTCTTAGTCACAGCTCCATATCACTTCTCTGAACAGATTTTCCTGGTAGGTTTCCCAAACATTCGAGAGGGCAATTTAAAGTCAAAGAAAAGGAATGTCAGTTCTCCAATTCAATAAGCACCAGAAATTTGTTCTCAGAAAAACTGGTTCTTGATATAGGTAATCCTCTCCAAGAGTCTGCTCAAAATTCACAATACTTTTGTTTAAAGTAGCCTTATGGCCCCATGATTCAGCGAGACAATCAGGACAACCACTCACAGATATTAACCTCTCCCCCCATCTAGACCAGGTCGAATTCACAACTTGATGAGAAAACCTCCATTTTTAATATCACCCAATATGCCTTCTGGACACAGAAGTCTGTCAACTTTAGTCTGTCAAGACTCTAGTCTGTCAACTTTAAACAAACAGTACCATATTTACTTGAATGTAATGTGCACCTTTTTTGCACAAATTACCATATTTTTCCGTGTATAAGATGATGCTTCTTGCTAAAAAAAAAAAAAACAGGCAAAAATTGGATGTCGTCTTATACACGGATAGTGAATGCGGGGGGGGGGGGCGTGCGATTAATGGCAGCAGGAAGCAGGAGATTGGCAGCAGAGATTGGGCAGGTGACTGGTGGCTGTGGCGAGGCAGGCAGGGAATTGGCAGCTGCAGCAAGTGGGCTGTTGGTGGCGGCGAGCGGGCAGACAATTGGCAGCTGTAGTGAGGTGTGCAATCAGCAGTGGCTGTGGCAAGCGATTGGCAGTGGCAGGCAGGCGGGTGAGTGACTGGCAGAAGTGACGTCCCCCACCCCCCAAAAAAGCTAAACAACTTAATTTCTTAATTTTGGTTTTAAAAAATTGGGGTCATCAAATACTTGGGGGCGTATTATACACAGAAAAATGCAGTACATCTTGAAAATTAGGGTGCATATTAGATTTGATTGCAAACTAGAAAAACACCACTGACATAGCAAATACCGTATTTTTCGCTCTAGAAGACCCCTCCCGTGCACCGACCCCTCTCGCTCTCCAGGCTTCAGGAAGTTATCCACAAGCCTTCGGAGCCCGGCGGGAGTTCCCGCCGGGCTTTGAAGGCTTGCGGATAGCAGCCTGCAGCCTGAAGCCTGGGGAACGCAGTGTCAACTTCATGCAGCTATCTGCAAACCTTCGGAGCACTTTTTGGCTTCTGCCAAAGCCCCGCGCACCCTCTCCTGGCTGGAGAGGTGGCGCGCGGCTATGGCAGCAGCCTCTTTAGCCGCGTGCCACCTCTCCAGCCGGGAGAGGGTGCGCGGGGCTAAAGAAGCCATAGCCCCGGGCTTCCCCAGCAGCCTCGAGAAGCTCGCTGAGCAGCAGGAAGGCTTCGTGCCTTTCCACTGCTCCCCGAGCTGCTCTTTGGGGCTGGTGGAGGGCTTCCCTCCGCCAGCCCCAAAGAGCAGATCGAAAGGAGCCTGAAGCCTGGAGAGCGAGAGGGGTCGGTACGCGGGACCCCTCTCACTCTCCAGGCTTCCAAGGTAGCCGCCTGAAGGCGACTGAACACACCTTGAACGGCACCTTGTTTTAGAGGGGGAGAACAAGGGGGGGGAATTCTCCCCCTCTCTGCGCAGCGCCTCCTGCCGCTTCGCTGAAGGGGCGCTGGGCAGAGAGGGGGAGAATATTTTTTTCTTGTTCTCCCCCTCTAAAACAAGGTGCGTCCTACGGTCCAGTGCGTCCTATAGAGCGAAAAATACAGCACTTTTTTGGTTTCAAGGTTATGAAAACTGAGGTGCGCATTAGATTCGATGGTGCATTAGATTCACATAAATATGGTATATTTTGAACTGAACTAGCAACTTGGGTACTGCCCACCAACTCACTCTCAGATGAACCAAGCATTGAGCTTCTTCAACACCCTCATTCCCGGAGCAAACAGTAACTACAATTTTGAGAAAGCTTCCCCCTTGTTCATCTCAGCAGCTCACAACCATTTGCTTCTATATGGACCCCCAGAAGGGAGTGAGCAATTGTGGTACATAAAGTGAGCTTTGGCAAAGCCTCTGCTAATGCTCAAACTAGCAAAGGGAGAGATCAAACGCTCCTTGCCTGTGCCTTAGCCACAAAGAAAATGGACCTCGTAATAAGCGCTAAGCTGAGGGACATATATTAAGTGAGTTCAGACACTAACTCCAGTTCAGGCCATAGTAGCCCTGAGTCACTGACACACACAAATATGACAGATTGGAAGTTTCATCTTTCAGCCCATTCCTTGCCAAAGGAAGAGCATGCAGCCTAGACTGAGGGAATTGGCAATTATCCTATTTTTCAATCATAAGCACTGCCAAATGGGCCACTGCCACCGGCCTCAAAATGGCAACAGTCTTTTCACAACTGTTTGCAAGCAGATTCTCAATTAATATCCATTTAATTTCTACCCTACAATTTTAGGCTCCTACTCTCTCTCTCTCTCTCTCTCTCTCTCTCTTTCACACACACACACACACACACACACACACACACTGTATTACAACTGTAAGTTTATTAATGTGCATCTACTGAGGGCTGATCCAGTCATTTTCGGAGTTTATTCTAACCGTGGTAGAGACTTGTGCTATTAACATCAACTTAGGTTAATGAAGAAACAAACATTGTTTATTTCTAGAAAATGTATTTATTACTGGTTCACTGAATATGTTCCATCATTATTTTTTAAAATCCAAAACAACCCTAACAAGCTTAAGTTCCCTTTAGCAATGACAAAGAAAGAAAAGTTAGACTTCTAAACTTGAAAGAAAAACTGATCAGACAAAAAAATACTCACAGTGACAACAATACCACAGAGTGGTGGTAGTTCAGTAGTGAAGCACATTATTTACATGCAGCAGGTCCAGGCATTTCCAGTTAAAAGAGAAAAATGGATGTGCCTTACAACTTGGAAAGTCACTGCCAGTCCCAAGTAGATTTTACTGAACCATGTGAATCAATAAATAGCCTGACTCAGTACAATAAACTGTTATAGAATCATATCAATATATGGTTATCATGAGTTTTAATCATGCAAATATTTACTATTTATGATTAAGTAAATAGAAGCTTGCATTATTAAATAATTGTGGCAATGAGTCAGTCATATTTCTAGTTTCCTCATATGCTCCTTTCCAACAGACCCCCCAACTCTTCCAAATTACTCATTCAATCTCATATCTGGTCTCTGCCCTCTGCAGTCAACACACATAGGTGCAGCCTGATGCTGCCCCACACTGGCTACAGCCCTGCCCTCCTTTTGCCAATTCACTGCATAGCATTACTGTAAATATATATTAAGTGGCCAAGCAGATTTGCCCAGTTTTGATAATTTGTGCATGCATGTCTCAAACTTCAGCTTTCCTTGACAAATAATTTTTTAAAGTATGCATACTCTTTTACACACAGATTCCTGGCTACAATATGAAAAGGAAGCAGTAGCTCTTTAAGGCCTGAAATGAATGAATTGCTGAGCAACACAATAATAGTTGGAAAGGAAGGAAGACAGGCAGCACACAAAAGTAGCCACAATGTGGAACTTGACAGGACCATTTTGAGTTCACGGAGAAAGAAAGGAACAGGGCTGGCAAACAGCTCTGTCCCTGGTGCTAAGTTCAGCACTTCTACTCTGTTTTATTTTGCCAATTCCTTGAAGAACGAATGTTTTTCGTTTTTGTTTTTTAAGTGCAAGCTATCGTGAACCTTTTTTTAATTGAAAGGTGAATACACTATTAAGATCCTCCCTCTCACAAAATGGACAATTTGCCATTTGCTACCAGCTACTCAGCACCAACATTCAGGTTAAGTTACAGAAAGTGGGGGGTGGGGAATCGCTTCAGTGGGAGTGAGAAAAGGATACCTTACTGTTCCTCTGTAAGTTGTTCTTATTTGCAAATCCTAACAAATAAATCCAGAAAAGAGTTACTAGACCATAGAAATTATAGTAGTCACCTTCTCCACATATATCTATGGCTGTTATTTGTGATACACTGACAGCTTGAATGGATCACTCACCAGATGTACCTTGTCTCACTGGCCTGCACAAAATTCTTAACAAACACACTTGAGAAACCATGCACACTGGCTGACTTAATCCAGTCTAGAAACATTACTGTAAATGCTTCTGTTGACAATAAATGGTTCATGTACCACAGCCTCTTGAGGATGGCTTGTTCTGTGATCACCAAGAGTCACATTAATAGAGAGTACTAAGCAATAGGATTTTATACAGCTTACTGGCCCAGATTAATTTGCAACTCTTTTTGTTTAGCTCCCACTAAACTTGTCCCTAAACCCCAACACTTTTTTTTCTTTTTTCAAATATACGGTATTTTTCACTCTATAGGACGCACTTTTTCCCCTTCAAAAATGAAGGGGAACTGTGTCTGCGTCCTATGGAGCGAAGACGCCATAGCCCCGCGACCCTCTCCCGGCTGGAGAGGTGACGCGCGGATATGGCAGGAGCCTCTTTAGCCGCGCGCCACCTCTCCAGCTGGGAGAGCGCGTGCGGGGCTAAAGAAGCCATAGAAGCTTTCCGCTGCTCCCCGACCTGCTCTTTGGGGCTGGTGGTGGGCTTCCCCCCACCAGCCCCAAAGAGCAGGTCGAAAGGAACCTGAAGCCTGGAGAGCGAGAGGGGGCGCTGGGCAGAGAGGGCTTCGCTGAAGGGGCGCTGGGCAGAGAGGGGGAGAGAGGGGGAGAATTTTTTATTCTTGTTCTCCCCCTCTAAAACAAGGTGCGTCCTATTGTCCGGTGCGTCCTATGGTGCGAAAAGTACGGTACCTCCACTGCCACGCCAGCTTCTACATTTTTGCAACATAGTTTGGCCTTTCAGACTAAATGCCAGTGTGCTGCCATCTCCTTTGTTTAAAATTCCATCCAGGCCATACTTGTTGCTTTGCTTCTTGTCACTATTATGGAAACTTGTGAAAGGATGCCACTTACACAATATGCTAGGATATTAGGAACCATTTCACCTGTTCACAAATCCAGTGAAACAAATTCAGACTAATTTTCTGGCACTGGGGTTTCCAGAGTTGCACACAGATGGTGGCCATCTGTTCAGAGCCATGACTCCCCTTGTCAGATAAAGGAGATGAAATACAGCAACTCCCCTAATCCTGCTCCAGCTGCAACAGCCCATTCTTACACGGGCAAGGGCTCTCCTACTCTCATTGCACTCTACTAGCCACCACAAATCATTTCTATACCGGTTCCACCCAAACTAAACCATTCCATAAACATGTCTACTTTCTATTAGATAGCTTTTGGCTCCAAAGTTTGTTTATGAAGTCTCTGTAGACGAAAAGCAGCATTAATCATATGGACAAAGGCTGAAGAGACTATTATATTTATGTATCTCCAATAAGTCAACTTTCCAGGGCGTGGGGGAAGATTTTTCAAAGCATGTTTCAGCTGTGTTGGGGGGAACAATACAAGGCCTTTGTATGAGTTTTATTTTAAGGGTATTTTCCATCCCAAAAAAGTGTTATACAACACAGCAAAGTTAAAATAAATGAAAAGAGCAGGAACAACTTCATTAAAAAAATTATTACAAAAAGAATACAGCAGCAAAAACAGCAGCAGTGGGATAAAGCAACAGTTAGTAGATTGTGGTTACAGGAGATACTCAAGACATACTTCAAGCAGGAGGATATTCCACAATATTGGTGCTGTGATAGGCCTTGCTTCACATTTGGAGGCCCATCCAAGACTTCACAAAAGAAAGAATCTGAACAACTCCCTAACCTGCAGAGTTTAAGTGTGATGATCTTCACACAGGAGTAATCATTTCCTGAAATAACCAGGACCCAGGCTACTTAGGACTTTAAAGGCAAAACTAAAAACCTGAATTGGGCATGGAAGCAAACAGGCAGGCAAGTGCAGCTGTTTCAGAGTAACTGATATGACTGTGCTAAAGAGGCAAACAACATTCTGCACCAGCTGAATTTCTCAAGCCATTTTCAGTGGCAGTTGCACATAGAATGCGTTGCCAAAATCTAGCTGGCAAGGCATAGGTTTCTATCTTTCAGTAGCAGGTATAGCTGATAAAATTAGCTAAAGATGATAAATGGCACTCATGGTGACAACCACAAGTTGGAGATTTAACAGTATCCCCAAACAGACAGTTTCAAACTCATCAACCCACCAACAACTGCATGCAAAGTTTAAAGACATCATACTGCATATGGAGCCAATATAAAGGAAAAATAGGAAAAAACAGATTTGAACATTATCACGTTTACTGATAACACTGAAGTTCATCTCACCCAGAGATTTCATGTGGACAGCTACTGATGGGGAGGAATAAAAGGAACAACAAAATCTGGACTCCATCTTCTGAAAAAGTACAGAACCACTATAATCCAATGGCCCCAATCTCCAGTTTAGAAGAGTATCGGGATTAATTATATCTAATAGGAAAGTTGAATGTTTGAATGTTGAATGTTAAATGTTTTTATATATTTTAAAGTGTTTTAAAGGGGTTTTTACTTTTTACTTTGTTGTACCAGCATGAACGGTGGTTTTATTGATGTATTTTTATTTTGTTCCGTTTTATTTTGGTTTGGGGTTGGATATTGAGTGGGGTGGGGATTGGTTTAGTTTGGTATAATTGTTTTTGGTTTGTTTTGTTTTTCTATTTTGTAAATGGAGGTTGGTATGAGGCTTGGGATTGCTACCGTGGTGGGGCGAGGGAGGTATAGCGGTGGGGGCAGATGTTATAGGCGAAGGGGATCGAGATACGGATATGCTCGTACCCCTTCCAATCTGCGCCCCATCCTGAGGGACGAGGGTAGGGTGAGCAAGGATTACTCACCTCCGTCACTGGTGTTGTGCAATGCCAGGTCTATAGGCAACAAAACCGACACCCTGCGAGATTTCTTCACCTCGCAGGGGGTTGACCTGGCTTGTGTGACGGAAACCTGGGTGCACGAAGGGGAAACTGTTACCTTACGAGAGATGGCGCCCCCGGGTTTCTCCGTCCTCCACCAGTCGCGGACTGTGGGCCGGGGGGGAGGGATGGCATTATTAATCCGGGAAGATTGTTCTTTCAGGGCTCTACCATCGCCATCGATCCCCGGCATTGAATGTGTTGGCCTAGTGTGGGGCTCCGAGGTGAGCTTGGCTGTCTGGCTGGTGTACCGGCCACCTAGCGCACCAGCAGCCACCCTGTCAGGCCTGCTGGAGGCGGTGGCCGGCTGGGCCTTGGAGTTCCCTAACCTATTGGTATTGTGGGACTTCAACGTCCATGCTGATGCCACTCCCTCCTCACAGGCTCTGGACCTAGTGTCTTCCATGGCGACACTAGGGCTCTCCCAGTTTGTTTCGGGCCCCACACATAAAGCAGGCCACACGCTGGATCTGATCTTTGGCGTCGGTATAGATGTGATCATGTCTCCTTCAGTGAAGGTGCCATGGTCTGATCACTACGCTCTGAAAGCCAGGATTGATTTTCCACCCCCACCCTGCTTAGGTGGCGAGCCAATTTGGGCTCGCCCGCAGAGGCTGATGGACCCTGATAGATTCCGTCAGGCCTTGCGGGACCTTGCTCCCCCTGGCGACTCATTGACTGAGCTTGTTGAGGGCTGGAATATCCAGCTCCTAGCAGCCATCGATGAGATCGCACCTAAGCACCCTCTGCGACCCCGCAGAAACTGGGCTCCCTGGTTTACCGAGGAGCTTCAGAAAATGAAGCGGGACCTCAGACGGCTAGAACGAGTATGGCGGGGTGTCCGTGACAGAGCCTCAAGAACATCTTATAGGGTTTTTATGAAAACCTACGAGATGGCAGTGAAGGCCGCTAAGAAGTCCTACTTCTCGGCCTCCATTGCCTCTGCTAGCTCTCGCCCGGCGCAATTATTTTGTATAATTAGGTCTTTAACGTCCCTTGAAGGACAGCCAAATTTAAATAACAATTTGACACACAGCTGTGAGGCATTTGCGAGCTTTTTTGCAGAGAAGGTCCTGTTGCTCCGCCATGACCTCCCTGCCAATTTGGATACAATAAAGGAACTGGAGGCCCCTCGACTGTCCTCGGGTCCAGTATTAGACCACTTTGACCGGATATCCCCAGCCGATGTGGACAGACTCCTCCAAGCTGGAAAGCCCACCACCTGTCCTCTTGACCCGTGCCCGTCTTGGCTGATGAGAGCGTGTCCAGACGAGGTACGGGCCCCCCTGGGTGATATCATCAATTTGTCCCTTTGCACCGGGATATTCCCAGGGGAACTGAAGGAGGCAGTGGTGCGCCCGCTCTTAAAGAAAACTCTTAAAGATCATTAGATCCCTTAGATCTATCCAATTACCCCCCGGTTTCGAATCTTCCATTCCTGGGTAAGGTGATTGAGAGAGCGGTTGCTGAACAGCTTGGTAGGTTTCTGGATGAAACATTGGCTCTGGATCCATTCCAGTCCGGCTTCCGCGCTGGTCATGGGACTGAGACAGCTCTGGTCGCCCTAACAGATGATCTCCGCAGGCAGCTGGATCGAGGCGGGTCGGGGCTGCTGATTCTTCTAGACCTGTCAGCAGCCTTCGACATGGTCGATCACGAACTCCTGGACGCCTTGCCGACATGGGGATCCAGGGCACAGTCCTTCAATGGCTGCGCTCGTTTCTCTCTGGTCGGGGACAGAGGGTGGCGCTTTGGGGGGGAATTGTCATCGCGCCACTCCTTGGTGTGTGGAGTGCCTCAGGGTGCGATTCTCTCCCGATGCTTTTAACATCTTTATGTGCCCCCTCGCCCAGCTTGTCCGGAGTTTTGGGCTGGGTTGCCATCAGTATGCCGATGACACCCAACTCTATCTGTTGATGGATGGCCATCCTGACTCGGCCCCAGGCACACTGACCAGATGTCTGGAAGCTGTGGCTGGATGGTTACGTGGGAGCCGGTTGAAGTTAAATCCTTCAAAGACAGAGGTCCTCTGGCTAGGACGGGACGATATGGGATTGAGGGGGCAACTCCCATATCTTGCGGGGGTGCAATTAGTGCCAGCATCGTCCGTTAAGAGTTTGGGTGTAATCTTCAATACCTCCCTCTCTATGGAGGCGCAGATTACAGCTACAACAAAGGCGGCATTTTTTCATCTCCGCCAAGCTAAGCAGTTGGCCCCTTAACTCTCTCGCCCTGACCTAGCCACTGTGATCCACGCGACGGTCACCTCCAAACTGGATTATTGTAACTCGCTCTACGTGGGGCTGCCCTTGAGACTGACCCAGAAACTCCAGCGAGTGCAGAATGCCGCGGCGAGACTCCTTATGGGGTCTTCGCTGCGAGATCACATTCATCCGGTACTATACCAGCTGCACTGGCTCCCGGTGGAGTACAGGATCAGGTTTAAGGTGCTGGTTTTAACCTTTAAAGCCCTATACGGCCTAGGACCCTCGTACCTACGGGACCGCCTCTCCTGGTATGCCCCACAGAGGAACCTACGGTCTGCAAATAAAAACATCCTGAAGATCCCAGGCCACAGAGAGATTAGGCTGGCCTCAACTAGAGCCAGGGCTTTCTCGGCTGCAGCCGGTGGAACGCTCTGTCACAAGAGACTAGGGCCCTGCGGGACCTGACATCTTTCCGCAGGGCCTGCAAGACAGAGCTGTCCCACCAGGCCTTTGGTCAGGGCGCAGCCTGACCCCCTCCTCCGGCAATCTGCACAGAATTTTGCTTAATGGTTGCCATCAATTTGATTTTAATTAATTTTTATAATGAAATGTTTTTAGAACATTGGATTATTTTGATTGTTGTTAGCCGCCCTGAGCCCAGCTTCGGCTGGGGAGGGCGGGATATAAATAATTTTTATTATTATTATTATTATTATTATTATTATTATTATGAGATTTAGCAAGGTCAAACTTCTGTCCTGCCTGCACAGGTTGTCAGTAAGCATTATTGAGGCAGCTTTGTTCCCAAGTGTAATTCACTCTTTCATTACCACTTAAGAATTATTATCAAGCTTTGGAAAAACCCGTGAGAGACTAGTCTACACACATTTTTACTGGTTATTTAAGTACACTTTCAGCCTGGAAAAGGGTGGGGATCCACTTATTAATTTCATCGTACCAACTGTCCAAGTCAACAAACTCAGTGTTGTGTAGGGCTATTACCTGTCATTCCTCAACAGAGCACCTGCCCAATGCTGTGCTTCAGCTGCCTCCAACAGAATCCCACCAGGAAAGACACAGGGCTCCTTTTCCTCACAGTCCCCACTCAAATGGTGATTGGCTGCTACCATCTTGTTTAACACAGAAAAGCAAACTTTCATGCCTTTGATAAAGTTCTTGAGAGATTAATGCAAAAATGTTAAAATGTACTCAAGCTCAGGTTTCATTTAGATTTATAAGAGATTGATTCCCATCCACCCAGCATCTGATTTAAATACTGGTAAGTCAGATGCACAACCCACCCAGGGTAGATGCTCAGTACCAGAGTCAATTTAATTTCCTTTTGCTTTTGCTTTTGCCTTGAGGAAAGCCTCCAAGCCTGATCAGGAACCTCCAAGTCAGCAGACTTCCGCTTAGATCTGCTTTGTCTAGAGTTAGAGAAGCAATCTGAGTTTGTTTTGTCTTAGTTTAACTGGGAAAACTCAGCTTGTCTCAAAAGTCAGTTCAAGTGAATTAAACTGGGCTTACTCACAAGTGGGGATAGGATTGCAGCTCTGTACCATGATCTCTCCTGGCATATCCCCTATATCAGGGAGCCAATCCCCAGCATTATAAATGAAGATATAAATAGCTTGTTTACTTCCTGTGCTAAGCAGCATTAAACTATACTCCTTTTGCCAAAAAGAACTGCTGCTGTAGTCCAACAGAATAATGTTTAGTTTAACTCAACCCTCCTAATTGACCCACCCAAAACTACCAGTAAAGCCAAATAAAGAATTTAAGAATATTGTTACTGTTCAATATTAATATTAATTAATAAAACTGTAATTTTATTTTTAAATGAATGCCTTTATATATGAAGTATCTTTTTAAAATAATCTAGTCTGAATTTAATACAAAGATCTGAAAATGGACACACTCTCCTAAAACCCTTTTATCACAAAATACTGTTAAAGCCTACTTTTCTATTTTAGAACAAAGAAGACAACAACAGGCTGTGCCTTGTGCAGGTGCTCTGCTGACGAATGCCAAGCATGGGCCAATGTCAGCAGTGGTCTTTCACCAACAGCACACCTACACAATGCAGTGGTACCTCGGGTTACATACGCTTCAGGTTACAGACGCTTCAGGCTACAGACTCCGCTAACCCAGAAATAGTACCTCGGGTTAAGAACTTTGCTTCAGGATGAGAACAGAAATCGTGCGGCGGTGGCGTGGCAGCAGCGGGAGGCCCCATTAGCTAAAGTGGTGCTTCAGGTTAAGAACAGTTTCAGGTTAAGAACGGACCTCCGGAACGAATTAAGTACGTAACCAGAGGTACCACTGTACTGTGCAAATCCCCCTGTGCATCAGCTGCCTCCCAAAGGAGCCAACCAGTCAAGGCCTCCCTGCATCTCAGTCGCTAACTGCCCTACGATCCACCCCACCAAGGACAATAGCACCTGGTGTTGGAGATGAGGTCTAACACTGTAACTAGTGTTGGATCCAGGGGTGCCAACTTGAATAAAATATTGGGAGGGCAGATAAGGCCCGTCCCCAATCATAGCAATGAGGTACCTAGTGCTGGTGAAGGTTTATTCCTCCTTCACCCCACTTTTTATCCCCAAAACAGCTCTGTGAGATTGACTGGTTTCAGAAACAGCAACTAGTCCAGGGTTACTCTCAATTCTTAAAGGTGAAAATGGACTTGAACCCAACTCTCCCCAAACCCAACTTTCTAGGCATCTGGTTGCACCTCCCCCCTCCAGAAAAACCCTGAGGGCTGGCTGTAAAATTATGCATATGCCTGCTGGGGCATCTTTTTAAAACCCACCTTAATTCTGTGACAGTAAGTTGTTTTAATTTGCTTTTAAATATTGTGTTTTAATTGTTGTAACCCACCTTGGGACCTTGGGGTAAAGTGTGGATTAACAACAGCAGCAACAATAATGAGTGAGGAGCTTCACCTTCCAAGTCATAGGAATTAGGCACTCCTAGTTTACTTTTTTAATGATAAGCAACCATGAGAGGCTTTATCTCTCGTCCTAGCACAGCTTCATGAACCACTCTGCGGAGCAAGCAGTTTGCATTATCTCTATTATCTCTCACACTCTCTCTGCTCCAAAATGTCAAGAGGTTTTTGTCCAATCCCAGCTCTCTTGCTATCCAGCAACCCTTTTACAAGTTCACTTACAGTGCTTGTTGGGAAACGGAAGTCCAAAAGTGGAAAAGAAAGAAAGGCAGCAATGCCCATCAATTTGGAGGTGGGGGGGCTGGCCCCCTCAAATATTTTAGGGAGAGGACAAAGGGACCTGAGCCCCGAGGAGTTGATGCCTGTGGTTGGATCTATTGGGTTGCATCTGACACTGAAGCTCATGCAACAGACCAGCCTGCACAATAGAACTTCCCTCTCCCCTACAACCTGAACTGCCACACCTTCTAAATCTGTTCCACTGGATTGGGAGACCCTTTGGAGAAGGCCTGGGGGGGGGGGAGGTAAGCAGGGAGATGAGAGGAAGAGGAATTCCCATTGTATGAGCAGAACACCACACCTGCAGCATCGGATACAACGTATTATATTTATGAAATTATGAATTGTCAATAGCAGAGCATGATATTTAATATCCAACTCATGAAGAAACACTGATGGGCCAGGTTAACTACTAGCTCTGGTTCTGAAAGTTTCGGACACTTGAAAACGAAGGAATTAGTTTTACTTAGTGTAATTTAAAGCTGGAAAAATAATAAACACAAATACTTCATTTTACAGTTTCCAGGCTCTATGATATATAAATTACACAGTGCAGGGAGGCATGGAGGATGCATGACTAAAGGTTTTGGATTATACTACCTAAGAGTTCTATTTCATTACAAACACATCTTTATTACAGTGACCAATTTATAAGTATGTACGCTTATTCAGGAAATACACCAATTTAAAAAGTTGGAAACTTGCTTATGTCAGTGATTTAAATTGCTTTTACTTATTTTTATATCATTCAAAACAATCTGTTACTAACCCAGCCACTTCTGTCCTAAAACCCCTAGTCCTGCTGCGGCTGCCACACTACCCAGAGCAAAGCCATGATTTGGCTTAGTGTTATGCAGGAACCCAAGCTCATGGTTGTCTCCTGTGGACAAAGCTTAAGTGACAAGTCAAGAACAAACCCTGGCTACAGTTCATGATTTGTCTGGAGTGAGACAAACCACCAGCCCAGTTTTGAATGTTAACACTAAGCCTAACCATGGTTTAGCCCCAAAGAAATGAGAGTGCCAGACCACCTTATCTGTCTCCTGAGAAATCTCTATGTGGGACAAGAAGCTACAGTTAGAACTGGATATGGAACAACTGATTGGTTCAAAAATGGGAAAGGAGTACAACAAGGCTGTATATTATCTCCCTGCTTATTCAACTTATATGCAGAATACATCATGTGAAAGGCTGGACTGGATGAATCCCAAGCCGGAATTAAGATTGCTGGAAGAAATACCAACAACCTCAGATATGCAGATGACACAACTTTGATGGCAAAAAGTGAGAAGGAATTAAAGAACCTCTTAATGAGGGTGAAAGAGGAGTGTGCAAAATATGGTCTGAAGCTCAACATCAAAAAAACTAAAATCATGGCCACGGGTCCGATCACCTCCTGGCAAAAAGAAGGGGAAGAAATGGAAGCAGTAACAGATTTCACCTTCTTGGGATCCATGATCACAGCAGATGGTGACAGCAGTCACGAAATTAAAAGACGCCTGCTTCTTGGGAGAAAAGTAATGACAAACCTAGACAGCATCTCACCTTGCAGACAAAGGTCTGTATAGTTAAAGCTATGGCATTCCCAGTAGTGATGTATGGAAGTGAGAGCTGGACCACAAAGAAGGCTAATGGCCAGAGAATTGATGCTTTTGCATTGTGGTGCTGGAGGAGACTCTTGAGAGTCCCATGGACTGCAAAAAGATCAAACCTATCCATTCTGAAGGAAATCAGCCCTGAGTGCTCACTGGAAGGACAGATTCTGAAGTTGAGGCTCCAATACTTTGGCCACCTCATGAGAAGACAAGACTCTGGGAAAAAACTCTGATGTTGGGTAAGATTGAGGGCACAAGGAGAAGGGGACGACAGAGGAGAAGATTGCTGGACAGGGTTATAGAAGCGACCAACATGAATTTGACGAAACTCCGGGAGGCAGTAGAAGACAGGAGTGCCTGGCATGTTCTGGTCCATGGCGACACAAAGAGTCGGATACGACTAAATGACAACAAACCAGCAGGGAAGCAACTATGATTTGCGCTGTGAGTACCTGCACATTCATACTTGGCCATGGTTTGCCTGAGTGTTACATGTGAAAACCAGTGTTAGAAAAGCTATTTGCCACATGGCTCCTGAAACCTGGGTTATGAGAGCAAAAAATAGAATGGCTAGTCACCATCTCCCCCGATGCAGCAGCACTTCCTATTTATTTTTTCGTAGAGATTTCATTTGGTTCTTTTTGCAATTTGTGGTATTCGGAGGGTTGTAACCAGCCATAGCAAAACAGGTCTTACACAGAGCACATTGAGATTTAAGTTTAGGCAGTAACACTCGGTGAACTTTATGGCTGAGTGGGGATTTGAACCCAGGTCTCCCACGTTCTAGTCCTACAGGCACTCTAACCACTACACTACACTGGCTCTCACTGGGGTGAACTATTTTCTTTCAAAATAAAAAAAATCCTTCCAGTAGCACCTTAGAGACCAACTACGGTAAGTTTGTTATTGGTATGAGCTTTCTTTTTTTTTTAATAAGATATTTATTAAGCTTTTTTAAAATATTACAATAAAAATGAAAAAAATAACAAAAATACAAAATAAAAATAATTAAAAACACACAGATTTTCCATTACTTGTTTTCCTTTAGCTTGTTTCCCGGACCTCCTCATACCTCCCTTTTTTGTATTCCAGTTCAGTTTGTTGGTTCAGCAAATCCTTACCCTCTTTATTTATCCTAATCTTTAGTCTTAAAATAGTAACGTTAAATTTTCACCTATTAACAACCCATTTTTCATAATCCCTTAAAGCATTACAGCTGGAAACCACTTAATTTCTATCCAACATCATTCTAACATTCATTAATTTTACAATAATTCTGTAGATAGTCTTTGAATTTCTTCCAATCTTCTTCCACCGACTCTTCTCCCTGGTCTCGGATTCTGCCAGTCATTTCTGCCAGTTCCATATAGTCCATCAGCTTCATCTGCCATTCTTCCAGAGTGGGTAGATCTTGTGTCTTCCAATACTTTGCAATGAGTATTCTTGCTGCTGTTGTGGCATACATAAAAAAGGTTCTATCCTTCTTTGGCACCAATTGGCCGACTGCCCAGGAGAAAGGCCTCTGGTTTCTTCAAGAAGGTATATTTAAATACCTTTTTCAGTTCATTATATATCATTTCCCAGAAAGCCTTAATCCTTGGGCACGTCCACCAAAGGTGAAAGAATGTACCTTCAGTTTCTTTACATTTCCAACATTTCTTATCGGGCAAGTGATAAATTTTTGCAAGCTTGACTGGGGTCATGTACCACCTGTATATCATTTTCATAATATTCTCTCTTAAACATTACATGCCGTAAACTTCATACCTGTGGTCCACAACTGTTCCCAGTCAGCAAACATAATGTTATGTCCAAAATCTTGTGCCCATTTAATCATAGCAGATTTCACGGTTTCATCCTGAGTATTCCATTTCAACAGCAAGTTATACATCTTTGACAAAATCTTGGTTTTGGGTTCTAACAGTTCTGTTTCCAATTTTGATTTTTCCACCTGGAAGCCAATTTTCTTGTCCAAATTGTATGCCTCCATTATCTGATAATAATGAAGCCAATCTCGCACTTTATTTTTTAGTTTTTCAAAACTCTGCAATTTCAATCTATCTCCCCGTGTTCCAAAATTTCCCAATATTTCAGCCATTTGGCCTCCATATTGAGCTTTTTCTGAGCCTTCGCTTCCATCGGTGACAACCACCTTGGGGTTTTATTTTCGAGTAGGTCCTTATATCTTATCCAGACATTAAACAATGCTTTCCTGACAATATGGTTTTTAAATGCTTTATGCGCTTTGACCTTGTCATACCACAGATATGCATGCCATCCAAATACACTGTTAAAACCTTCTAGTCCAAAATGTCTGTGTTTTCAAGAAGTAGCCATTCTTTCAACCAGCAAAAAGCTGCTGATTCATAGTAAAGTTTAAAGTTATTGGTATGAGCTTTCATGTGAGTGCACACTTCTTCAGATACACTGAAACAGAAGTCACCAGACCCTTATACAGTGGTACCTCGGGTTAAGTACTTAATTCGTTCCAGAGGTCCGTTCTTAACCTGAAACTGTTCTGAACCTGAAGCACCACTTTAGCTAATGGGGCCGCCAGCTGCTGCTGCCGCGCCGCCGGAGCACGATTTCTGTTCTCATCCTGAAGCAAAGTTCTTAACCTGAAGCACTATTTCTGGGTTAGCAGAGTCTGTAACCTGAAGCATCTGTAACCCGAGGTACCACTGTATATAGTGAGAGGGTGGGGAGGAGTATTGATCAGAAGGGTGGTGGGAATGAGTGATTGGCTGACAGGTGTGGTAAACCTGTTGACCACTGTTAACGACTGCAATTGGTCTTAGAGGAAAAAGCCTACCTGTAACTATTTTCTTTCAGTTTGCAAAGTCACAGCTTCTGTGATAAGTGGAGCTACCAGTGAGGGATATTGTCTCACTCTGTCCATTCATGCCCACATAACGTGATTATTTTCAAAGTTCTAATGTTTTTATTACTGTAAGCAAAGCACTTCCTTGTGTAAATGGTAAAGGAGCACCTGTGCAAAAAAGTCCATTTCAAGATCCTTGGTATCTTTTAAGGTTTGGCCCCATTGCAAATTACTATAGCAGCTGTAGTGACTTAACTCCATGAGTGTAGATGAGAGGAAGTCTATGGGAAATGTTTGCACTTAAAAAAAGCTACCCTTCTTTATAAACATCTAGGATTTAGCATGAAAACCCTCATACATTTATACAAACCCTAAAATGTCATTTCTTCTGACATAAAAAATGGGATTTCCCTAAGAAAAACACTTTATTCACTTCCAGTAAAAAAAAACACAACCAGTGCAAGTAATACTGACCTCTTGTAGTTTGAATTATAAATGTTGATAGGTCATTCTGAATCCCTTGCACTTAAAAGATCATACAATTCAACACACACCTTTCTTCTATTTCTAAAAGATTATATTTTATAGAATATGCACCAGTTTAAAAGGTGTTCCCCACACTACTGTTCTGTTTCTCCAAAGCTACTATCTTCCTCCCCACCCCACCCCCAGCTTCTTCACAGTTCATTCAGCACATTAAAAGGCTTCCTGGGGAGCAGGCAGAAAGGGAAGGCTTCAGTCCAAGGACAGTCACAAACCACAAGACTGGAAATATCAACTTGGTCACTAGGTAGTGCTCCAGAGTTACAAAAACAACAACTGGCAACCGGTTAATTTTGTTTTTGGTTTTTTTTAAACGATATTTATTGAAAATTTTAGAATTACAAAAGAAAACAAAAAAGAAAAAGAGAGAGAAAAAACAAACCACAATCAAACAATACAAATTAATAGAAATCAAAATCAAAAAATAGCACAACACGATCAAAAGACAAAAATATACCACAAACATTTAAAAACAAATCCAACATTCTTAAATCCTTAACTGTCATTACCTTCTTTCTTTGACCTCCTCCTCCTCCCTTTTTTTTGTATCCTAGTTGCTAATTGTCGCAGCAAATCCTTTCCATATTTCATAATATTCTGTCATTACATTACCTTAATCTATTTTAATCTTATCTTACTATAAAGAACCTTAAAGCTTAAAACTTAGATCTTATTTTTACCAATTTCTCATAACCATAATATTCTTACTTAATTCTTTAAACATTTTTGCTAAAGCCAAATAATTTCGTTCCAACATTTTTCTAACATTCATCAATTTTATAAAACAATCCTAATTAAAAAAAAAAAAAATCCAATCTTCATCCAGCGTCTCTTCCTCCTGGTCCCGGGTTTTGTCAGTCCTTTCTATCCCATCAATCTAGCGCATTAACCTGGTAATCTCATGTCCGAGGCCCTTAAGTCCCTTCAATGTCCCTTCCGCGGCTCTTCTTCATATTTATAGCTGTATTTTCCTTTGTCTCCTGCTTCTTTCACTCGTGGGAACTCCAGCTTGACAATGTTTTTGACCCTTCTCAACAAATCAGCCCCTTTTCCATAGTCCACACTAAACTCCATGTGGTATTTAAGAACATGTTTCAAAGTCCCTCCAAAATTAAGAGCCCCCACAACCCCAAACATCTCACGGCCCATTGCCAGACTTGAAAAGTCCAAACATCCCTGCATAGGGGGGTCTATCCAACCCATTTCCAAACCAAACCAAACTTTATCTTTCCAAATCTGGCTTTTTCCAAGTTCATTTGTCAAGTCCAAGAACTCATGTTCCTGCTGGGCCACAGCTCCCTCCATCTCTGGCGCCCAAGATTCTGCAACATCCTCTTCCCTCATCTGTTCTGTCAGGGCACACTCCTGATTTGATTCCTGGGTGGGCTCTATATAATTTCCCACTGCCTGTCCAAAATTTCTGATCGCATCAGTCATCAAGTCCGTCTTCTCATGTAGCTGTTCCAGTAGGGCACTTGTTTTACAGAGAGCACACAGCAGAGCTTCTGAATACATTGTCCTGTAAGGTCAGAAGTCTATTCCCACAATCGTAATCTGTAACAGCTGCAAGCTCCCTGATTCAGAATTGGTTACAGTTTCACAGGCTCCCTCTAGGGGAAAAACTTCTATTTGTTCTTTTCTTTTAAAGACAGATCTAACAACAAAGTTTCCTTTTTCAGATATTTTGTCAATATTTGTTCCTTTAAAGTGCGAAAGGGAACAATGAAATCACTATGTTTCTCTTCTTTTAGCTATCTGTCAAAGACGTTTGTCTCTGGTCAATGAGCTTCAAAAAACGTCAGTCTTGACACCCCGCTCCAGGATCAAGACGGTGGAAAGTTACTTTGCTTTACACTCACTTCTGCAGGTTTAAACAGTCCAGGAAAAAAAAATCCCCCCTCTTCTCCTGCTTCCGAAGGGGGTTCAACAATTTTAAATGATGAAATTTAATCCTTTACAAGCGATTTTCTGAACTTTGCTTTTCCTTGTCTTTGCTTTAATCTATCTACAAAGAAACGGAAGGCTGACTTCCTGTTTAGACCTTCCCGTTTCAGTGCCAAATTGAAATAAACTTTTAAGTCCAATTTTCCTTTCTACTCGCAAATCCTTATTTAGAGTCCAATTGTCCGAAATTTAAGTACTCACGGGTGATTGTTTTAAAAGCCAAATTGTCCCAGGAAAAAGGCAGCGCTCTACAACCGGTTAATTTTGAACACTGGTGAAAAAACGGTCCACTGTGCCTGATATCTGACAAATTTTACAAAAATACTGAAGAGAAGACCTATTTGAAGCAAGTTACAGCTATTCTCCACTAACTTGGACTATTACTTTAAATAATAGTTTAACCGTATTCCTGATGGCAAATTTTAAAATCAAAGTGTAGCATTAAGCTAAAACCTCTTATCAGTTTCATCATGATAAAAAAGTATTTACCTAATGGTTCTGAAGACATTAAATGGAAACTGCCTTACCACAATCCTAAAGCTGGCCAAAGTCTGGCTGAGCATCCTCAGGGCACAACATTAACTTGCACCCAAGCACTTTTGCACTCAGAGGCCTAAAGTTCTATGGGTGCAGTTCTACTACCAGAATTATGCCATCAGAAATAATAGGGAGTACCATATTGGCCTGAATATAAGCCGCACTTTTTTCCCAAATTCCAACGGTGAAAAGTTAAAGTGTGGCTTAAATTTGTGACCTTACAAAACCTGGCTTTTACGATATCGCTCCCCTCCCGTCCTGTCAGCAGCTCCTCCAGCCTCCCCCAAAGCTGGGTAGGAAAGAACACAGGGGAGGGGGAAGACCTCTGGCACCGTGGCACGGCTCCCCCTCAGCCTGTAACGCTGCCAGGAATGCGGGAAGTGGCCCCCGCCAAGACAAACACACCGGGAGCACGGGGAAGCGGCACCCACTCCACGCGTAGTCCCCCATCCTCCCCCCAAGGCCAGGAAGGGAGGAAGTGGAAAGGCAACCAACAATGCAGCAAGGCTCCCCCCCCCCCAGCCCAGTGTGCAGCCAAGAGCATGGGGCAAGCAGCGCCAGGAGTCCTCTCTAGTAGTTGTAGAATTTTCTTCTACATTTGCCATTTACGGGTGTGAGTGCCTGTGGAAATTTAAGGGAGTGGCTTTTATTTGGGTATTATCTCCCCCCCCCTTGAATTTTAAAGGTGCGGCTTATTTGTGGGTACAGCTTATATTCAGGTCAATACGGTATGTCAAGGGTGTATGACAGGAGATCCAGATTCAAAGGCACAAAGTTCCCACACTCCAAAAGGATTTTAAAAAAAACAAGCCCTGGAGCTGGTTTGGTGATTTTTTCTCACTGATGGCAAAAGGAGAGGAGAAATTAAAAAATTAAATCAGGAGAAAGGAAAATGGGCAGCCCCTCCACCACCCCTGGACCCAAGCAAGCTAGGAAGGGCTTTGGAATTGACAGTTCTCCTTCAAATTATTTGCTAGCCACTGAACTTTCTCTGCTCACCTAGATGGTCACTTGGCACAGTGTGTTTGCCTCCATCACCCCTCACTTTAGAATCATAGAATCATAGAATCATAGAGTTGGAAGAGACCACAAGGGCCATCGAGTCCAACCCCCTGCCAAGCAGGAAACACCATCAGAGCACTCCTGACATATGGTTGTCAAGCCTCTGCTTAAAGACCTCCAAAGAAGGAGACTCCACCACACTCCTTGGCAGCAAATTCCACTGTCGAACAGCTCTTACTGTCAGGAAGTTCTTCCTAATGTTTAGGTGGAATCTTCTTTCTTGTAGTTTGGATCCATTGCTCCGTGTCCGCTTCTCTGGAGCAGCAGAAAACAACCTTTCTCCCTCCTCTATGTGACATCCTTTTCTATATTTGAACATGGCTATCATATCACCCCTTAACCTCCTCTTCTCCAGGCTAAACATGCCCAGCTCCCTTAGCCGTTCCTCATAAGGCATCGTTTCCAGGCCTTTGACCATTTTGGTTGCCCTCTTGTGGACACGTTCCAGTGTGTCAGTGTCCTTCTTGAGCTGTGGTGCCCAGAACTGGACACAGTACTCCAGGTGAGGTCTGACCAGAGCAGAATACAGTGGCACTATTACTTCCCTTGATCTAGATGCTATACTCCTATTGATGCAGCCCAGAATTGCATTGGCTTTTTAGCTGCCGCGTCACACTGTTGGCTCATGTCAAGTTTGTGGTCAACCAAGACTCCTAGATCCTTTTCACATGTACTGCTCTCAAGCCAGGTGCCACCCATCTTGTATTTGTGCCTCTCATTCTTTTTGCCCAAGTGCAATACTTTACATTTCTCCCTGTTAAAATTCATCTTGTTTGTTTTGGCCCAGTTCTCTAATCTGTCAAGGTCGTTTTGAAGTCTGATCCTGTCCTCTGGGGTGTTAGCCACCCCTCCCAGTTTGGTGTCATCTGCAAACTTTCTATCACAAAATGAAGCCAGCAGACTTCTCTCCAACATCATTGCCTTCAGAATCTCCTCTGGCTCCCAGCAAAAAGAAAAGAAAAAGAAAAGCAAGCCACCAACTGCATAGGTCGGCAGTAGTGAATTTGGAGTTTCACTCTACCTCTGGCACTGCAGGTATAGGAGGCAGAGATAAACAATATATGCAATTTGCACCTAGTCATAAGACTTTCACAAATCAAGAGTTTTGTATAAAATAAGGTATCTGCCAAAAGAAAGTCAAAACTAGGCACAACACGTTAACATTAAAATTTAAAAATTCTGAATTTTGCAAGCAGATCACATTACCCTTTAGAAATTTTGACCTTAAAAGTGTATGTAACCTTGAATAGTGTTCTCTCAAGAACACCCCCTATAATCAGCTGAAAGCAAAGAGGAAAAAAATACTTGATATTTGTTGTTCCTCCTCACCCCCACCCCAAACTTCAGATTCCCATGGATAGTGGGTGCTATTGTTTCCAGCTGAAATGAGATAAATGGGTTTGGGTAGACCACGAAGGAGCCCAAACACATCTGGCCACATGGTTCTTCTCTGAGAATGGTCACAGCATCATCTCAAATGAGGTCACTGGGGAGACCCAGCGAGATGGACAGGGCACAAATAATAAAATTATGATGAGGATGATGAGGATGATGATGAGGATGGTGATGATGTCTTTTACAGGGATCACAAATTCAGATGCTGGGCAGCTCCTCCAGCAGTTTCTATTGAGATCAAAAGTCAAACTTGACTTATTTAAAGTCCCACTTGTTCAACCAGCTCTATGACAGGGAACGTTAGAAACACTGCTGACTTGATATATCATTCACCTTTTTGCATTCGACACTTCTAGAGTGGTGGAGAAAGAATGAAATTGAAAGGAATAGGATAAACAATTGTACCCTTAAAATGTCAGACGGCAAAAAAGCAAACTACTGAGAAGGCTGCATCACAGAAAACACAACACGCCCAAACCTCTGCACAATTTTCCACTGTTTCAAAACAGACTGCAACACTCAGGATACTACATAAACAGCATCCGAAATTACCGTATTTTTCGTTCTATAGGACGCACCGGTCCATAGGACGCACCTCGTTTTTGGGGGGGGGGAAACGAATAAAAAAAATTATCCCCCCCCCCGCCGCCCCAAGCCTCGCGTGCTTCGGGCTGCAGGCTACCGCCCCAAGCCTCGCGCGCTCGGCGAGACCTCCCACCGGGCGCGCGAGGCTTGCAGACACTCGCCCGAGCACGGGGAGCCCTCTGGAGGGCTCCCGTGCTCGGGCGACAGACTGCCGCCCCAAGCCTTGCACGCTCGGTGGGACCTCCTGCCGGGCGCGAAAGGCTTGCAGACACTCGCCCGCCGCAAGGCGAGCCCCCCGCAGGGCTCCCCGTGCTTCGGGCGACAAGCTGCAGCCCCAAGCCTTGCGCGCTGGGCGGGACCTCCCACCGGGCGCGCGAGGCTTGCAGACACTCGCCGAGCACGGGAGCCCTCCGGAGGGCTCCCGTGCTTCGGGCGACAAGCTGCAGCCCCAAGCCTTGCGCGCTGGGCGGGACCTCCCGCCGGGCGCGCAAGGCTTGCAGACACTCGCCCGAAGCAAGGGAGCCCTCCGGAGGGCTCCCGTGCTCGGGCGACAAGCTGCAGCCCCAAGCCTTGCGCGCTGGGCGGGACCTCCCGCCGGGCGCGCGAGGCTTGCAGACACTCGCCTGAAGCACGGGAGCCCTCCGGAGGGCTCCCGTGCTTCGGGCGACAAGCTGCAGCCCCAAGCCTTGCGCGCTCGGCGGGACCTCCCGCCGGGCGCGCGAGGCTTGCAGACACTCGCCCAAGCACGGGAGCCCTCCGGAGGGCTCCCGTGCTTCGGGCGACAAGCTGCAGCCCCAAGCCTTGCGCGCTGGGCGGGACCTCCTGCCGGGCGCGCGAGGCTTGCAGACACTCGCCCGAAGCACGGGAGCCCTCCGGAGGGCTCCCGTGCTTCGGGCGACAGGCTGCTGCCCCAAGCCTCGCGCGCTCGGCGGGACCTCCTGCCGGGCGCGCAAGGCTTGCGGACACTCGCCGGGGCTGCAGGCTGCTGCCTGCAAGCCTTGTGAGCCCGCGGGAACTCCCACCGGGCTTGCAAGGCTTGCGGATAGCTTCCTGAAGCCTGGAGAGCGAGAGGGGTCGGTGCGCACCGATGCCTCTCGCTCTCCAGGCTTCAGCGAAAGCCTGCATTCGCTCCATAGGACGCACACACATTTCCCCTTCATTTTTGGAGGGGAAAAAGTGCGTCCTATGGAGCGAAAAATACGGTAATTGGTCGCCAGTAAGTTTTTGCGACTCAAGAGCTCCACCTAGTGATCAAGGAGTCCTGTGTAATTTGTCTAAATGTAGTCTGTATTTACCATAAGTTTTCAGTGCCAAGGAAATCCCTTACTATGATAAACAGGAGCAGAACTTGAGGAATCTCTCTAAAGCATAAGCATCTACAAAATAATTTCCTCCAAAGAATCCATGAATCAATAGCCATGGTTTTAAATAAAATAATACTTTCCTTGTATGAGAGCTATTCAATATTCAAAGTTGTCACAATATACCATAACTTCAGGTATTGCCCTATCCAAAGGTATCCAACAGCTATCAAGGTTTATCATGATTAAAATAATTCAGCTATATCCAAACAGGAATGTCAGGTGGGATTCTGTGGAACTAGAAAAACTGTGAGCTGGTAATTACATCACCCAACACAGACACAAGAAGTTTCACACAAATAACTTCCAAGTTCTTTTCTACACAACCAACACCCTAATTCAGCCACACCTAAAACTTGCAGTATGTACTTACTGTTGTACATAGAGTTTTACTTGCAATTATGCAAAATAGGTTCCTCTGCCATTTATTTTCATAAAGTACAAAGTATTTAAAAAGCCATCCTTTCCTTTAACTAGGCATTTTAACCAAGTAGTTAGATTAAAAAGACAAGAGTGGTTTCAGCCTTCAAGGCTACAGTGTGAACAAGTGCTTAAAATGTCAGAAGAAGTTAGACACCATATGAATGAACAAGGTTGTTATTCAAATAAATCCCTCGAAAACATTCAAGAACCACTACAGACAACATGTTCTCTGAAATGCTTAAGAGTATGGGGATTAGCATTACATTACTGGGAGACCATTGCTACAACATTTGTGAAGCCAGGGTTAAATCTTTGGGTCTTGATATTGAAAAGACTAGGAAAACTATATAACTGGGGGGAGGGAGGTATTATATACTTTACAACTTATCAATAAGTCACCATAAGGATGTTATTTGCCCGAGACCAGCCAGTGAATTGCAGGGCTCAGAACAGAGAGTTAAGCAAAGACCAGTGTGACTGAAATGTCTGTCTCACTCTATCTTGATGACTTCAACTTTTAGATTATCTTATTTTGGAGGGAATGTCTGTGTCTCTCAAAGCAATACCTTTTTGCTAACATATGCTGGATTGCCAAATGTTTTTATCCCTTTATATCAGGCAATCTTTTTAAGCACTGACATGGTGCACCTACAACAGCATAGTGAGAATTTAGAAATAAAGCTGGCAAGAATGTACAAAAACGTATTTCACTGTTGAAGTGGAAGTTAAATACCAGACAGCATGAAATATAATTTACTTAAATCTATGGCACCACCTTGTTGAGAAAAAAAATCAATAAAGGGTTAGCATGCAGATTTGAAACTTAGAAGGGATTTAGACATAGTCAGTTGGAAAGCTTTAGAGACTCAGTTTGAAAGCTTTGCCAAATGCTCAAAAGAACTTTTGTGTGTGTGAATTTGTTCCCATGTTCAAAACCTAACCCCAGAAAAGACATGTGATCTATTCTAGGTAAGCGCTATGCTCTCAACAGCCCCCTCCAAAGCATTTCTACTCAGAATTATTTCAGAACAGAATTCAACGGAATTTTTTATTTCTAGTAAGATGGCTTGAGATGACTACCTTAGAAGTTCAGCATACCTACCCGCCCTTCAGCTACCTCCCCTACATTAGCCACAACACTGCTATGTTAAACATGCAGCAACGGTCAGGGTTTCCCATCAAGCAGTGGCTCTCTCATTTCTCTCCATGGAATATCCAGCAGCTGTATTCCAGATATTTCAGGGGTGGGGGTGGGCGGAGTGGACTCCAAGTGACTCCCTCTGCGCCCAGACGGAGCCTTGCAATCTTAGTACAGTCGTACCTTGGAAGTCAAACAGAATCCGTTCTGGAAGTCCGTTTGACTTCCAAAACATTCGAAAACCAAATTACAGCTGCTGGTTGGCTGAAAGAAGCATCAGAAGCCGCGGAAGCCCCATCGGACGTTCAGGTTCCCCAAAAAATTGTTTGCAAACAGGAACAGTAACTTCCGGGTTTGTGGTGTTTGGGAGCCGAAACGTCCGAGTTCCAGGGCGTTCGGGATCCAAAGTATGACTGTAGTTACAAACAGAGAATCAACAACAAACAGAGGATCCAGCAACAGGGGCATCATTGTATCAGATCCTTTAATAGAAGGGACCAGCGTTTGAAACCAACCAGGCACCAGACGCGTTTTGCTACTGCTGTGGGTCCAATTGCAACTACATGGAGATTTCTGGGTGCCAGGTTGGCGACCAGTTTAAAAACCTCTGCCTTAGTTCATATTTAATACCATTTCCATTTCCCCTGTGTGTGCTTTTTTCCTTTTTGAATACTGGGACAAGTGAATTGTAAGGTCAAGCAATGCAGTTGAGATCACAGAATCATAGAGTTGGAAGGGACTCTGAGGGTCATCTAGTCCAACCCCCTGGTGAACAGACATTCCATTGTGGCAACCACAACCTAGATTTAAGGTGCCATTTGGCACCTAGCCTATATATCTGAGCTTCTAACACCAGAAGGGATGTGTGTAAACAGGACATCAACCAAAAAGAGATCGCTAGAAGAGAATGCCTGATGAAATTCTCCCATGCACCTTTAAGAAATTAATGTTTTCTTAACCATTACTCTTTGCATAAGTTGCCATAGGAAATGGAAATGGCCAACAGAATAGCGGATTCAAAATGCTGCTCAACCTTGAAGCATACTGGGTAGACCTTGTATCACTCATTATTTCTCAGCTTCAGCTACCAGACAATATTACAGTGGTACGTCTGGTTACGTACTTAATTCGTTCTGGAGGTCCGTTCTTAACCTGAGGTACCACTTTAGCTAATGGGGCCTCCCGCTACCGCCGCACCGCTGCTGCGCGATTTCTGTTCTCATCCTGAAGCAAAGTTCTTAACCCGAGGTACTATTTCTGGGTTAGCGGAGTCTGTAACCTGAAGCGTCTGTAACCTGAAGCATCTGTAACCCGAGGTACCACTGTATTATGGATGTAAAACTAGATAACCCCCTTCTACACCACTTCCTGCCAACCTAGCAGTTCGAAAGCACGTCAAAGTGCAAGTAGATAAACAGGTACCGCTCCGGCAGGAAGGTAAACGGCATTTCCATGCACTGCTCTGGTTCGCCAGAAGCGGTTTAGTCATGCTGGCCACATGTACACCGGCTCCCTTAGCCAGTAAAGTGAGATGAGCGCTGCAATCCCAGAGTCGTCCGCGACTGGACCTAACAGTCAGGGGTCCCTTTACCTTTACCTTACACCACCTTTACTCTTTGGAAGAAGGGTAATGTTTCCAAAAGGAATGGGTGCATTCATGAGAGTGGACAACCCATTACCACTGTAAGTCAGGAAGAATGCTCTCATGTCAAAAGCAACCCAAAGTACTACAAATGAGATCAATAGGGAGAACAGCTACTATGACAAACTATAGACTTCCTCTGGCCTTCACCAATGCTACTTGCTACACTGGATCATGTAATATCTTTTTCCTGTATCCCAATATTTAAGATTTCCAAGATGACAAGTTTGTAGCATTACTGACTAACAGTGTTTACTCTATGTATCAACTGAGTTAGACAATGGTCACCGTTGCTACCTTAGTAACGTATTCACATCACAACCACAGATTTCAAACTTTTATCTACCAAGACCAAATGAGGTTGGCAGACTATTTGAAACAGTCAACAAAATTAAGATTGACAGGACATCGTTTAAAAGTTATTGGTGCTACACTTTACTTTTCATTTGCAAATAACCAATGTCTGCTTCATTTCTAATGAAGTATCTCTTAATCCGAGGTACCATTGTATTTCTATACTTAAGATATATATAATATCTAAATCTTGTATAACTGCAATGTTCAACATGATTTTCCAAGCCCACAAAAGCTAGGAACAGGGGCTACTTTAAAGACAGAAACTTCCTGTCTTAGAAGAATGACAATATGTGATATCAACAATAAATTATATGGTCACAGACCTGGCAATATAACTGATTCACAAAATCCCCAGCTTTTTCCTCATCCCATGTGCTAAATTCACTACAGTAAGTTACACATGGCAATCAAAGCTCTTAATCACATCACTGTCAAATAGGCAGGCCAATGCTATTCTCACTCTATAGAAGGTGAACCAAGGCCAACAGCCAAATACTTGTCATCCAACCAGCTTGTGGCTTAGCAAGAATGTGAACTCTAGTCTGCCAGCTCTCTTCACTAGACATGTCACTGTCTGCCTTGTCATCCAAGATCAATTGGAATTACATTTATGGGCCCTTAGGTATCTCTAGACTTTTTAGTGTATACCAGCACTTAAAACCTTCAGCTCTTACTACCACATTGCATTCCCAGTAATCTAATCTTCCTCCCAATTAGGAGAAATAGCAGCTTAGGACTAGTTGATAGAATAAAGTACCTACCAGGTTTTTACTAGCAATAACAAATTTTGAGGAAGGAGGGGAAACAGTGCAACATAAAACTTGGTACACCATCGAAGAAAATAGTCAATTCAGAAAGTAAAACTACAACTTTGAAATTTTCTATGCTGGCAAGTGACCTGTTTCATCCAGCAGTCCAGAGACACGGTAATAGGAATGTAAGAAGGGTCTGCTGGATCAGGTCAATGGCTCTAACCCAGCAACCTGCTCTCACAGTGACCAACCAGGGGAAGAAGAAGAAGAGTTTGGATTTGATATCCCGCCTTTCACTACCCAAAGGAGTCTCAAAGCGGCTAACATTCTCCTTTCCCTTCCTCCCCCACAACAAACACTCTGTGAGGTGAGTGGGGCTGAGAGACTTCAAAGAAGTGTGACTGGCCCAAGGTCACCCAGCAGCTGCATGTGGAGGAGTGGAGACTCGAACCCGGTTCCCCAGATTACGAGACTACCGCTCTTAACCACTACACCATACTGGCTCTCTGAGCTGAGCATATGAGCACTCTCAATAACAGGCATTGAGAAGCTTACTGCCTCTGAATCCATTTGAATCTATTCATCTATTTAGTGGCAAAGCAAGAAAGTAGAGCCCATTCTGAAGGAGCGAGTTGTAATATTAACTGAAAAGTCAGATGATACAGCATGAACAAATTAATTTCTAATGTTAGTTATCTTTCGGCTTTCCCAAACTTAGTATCAGGACAGGTGTTAATTTTAATGTAACAAATAAGAGGTCTCTATGATTATCACATTCATTACATCAACAGCTACTCATTCTTGAACATACAAACCCCACCTTCCCATTTAAAATACACACCCATCCCATTTCCAAAGTTGCTTAAAAGCAGCTTCCCTCACTCTTTCCCAGTGAGGACAAAACTTGAGAGGACATGGAAGGTCTTAACAATAAATTCAATACTGTGTATTTGGGAAAGAAAGTATACTGAAGTTATGAGGTTTAGGATCCTAAACCTCATGTACATTATCTGGGAGAAGTTAAGATGAAGCATATCAACTCCACCCCAACTTAGCTGGCCTTATGTGAGTGTAAATAGCTTACCCAGCTCATGGACTTACACCAGCTGAAGAAAAGCCCTGCTGGGGAAAGTAACACCAGTGTACAGGGCAAAAGGGGGCATGTCAAGGGTGGGGAAAGCAGCTCATGGAGGAGGAGGAGTTGGAGGAGGTGGAGGAGGAGGAGGTATAAACTATGGTTTGCCGCATCCTCACTATCTTCATTCACTGGCCCTACACACAGAGCTCAGTGCAACTTACACTGCCAAAAATGCAAGTGTAAATTTAATTCACCCATTGGAAGAGGATAAAAGCCCCCCACCAACCAGGAGCAGTTAACATGCAGCTTAAGGAGAGACACCACATATCTGTCTCCCTGCGAATCTGCCTGTTTAAAATTGATCTGCTCTCCTCCAAACAAAATACCCAATGCTTGGAAAGAATAATCTATGCACCATAAAATGCACAAGGCATATCTGTAGTGCTTTTAATAATGCTGCTTAAAACTGACAGAGCAAAGCTGCCTTCTCTTAGTAATCCTTACAATAGACCTATGAGGTAAACTGGTATTACCCCCCCACACACACACACATATTGCAAATTGAAAGATGAGGGATAAGGCCTTGCCTAAAGCCACTTGGGAGTTCAGAGCTGAGCTGAGAGTCCTCAGCTCACACTCTTAGTTAACAAACCAACACATTTACAAGTTACTTTTGTAAAAGTAATGTGAAACACTGAATCTGCCATTCAGCACCCAAGAGCTGGTTAGCAAGTGGTTCTTACCTTATCTTTTTCATGTGGAAGGAGAGATACTGGAGGAAGACAAGAAAGAGATTCACAGCTCTCTTTCCCATCTGCATTTGTGGCTGCTTTAGTATTGAGTTGGTACAGAGGTCCATCTTTAAGGAGTCGCCCATGGCCAATTGCCCGCTTGACAGCCAATCGCAGTTGCTGGTGAAAGGTGGAAGGGGCACTGCTTGCAAATAGAGCTGACACATCCTTCTGCCCTTTCAAAAAGCGTTCAATGTTCTTCAAGGATGAGCCACTGGACTCTGCCAAGCCCTCAACTGCCCGTTTAATCAGTTTATTCCAGTCCACGTTTGGTTTACCATCCAACTTTCCATGGTTTCGTGGTTTGGGAAGTGCTATTCGCCCAGGGTTATCAGGATCCTTATAGGAATTAAGTCCCTTATTGGAAACCTTTAATATGGTCCCATCTTTAACACTCAGTTCCAATTGCTCCAGAACCGTTTTTCGATCCAAACCATGGGACGAAGACACAGCATTGCATATCCTCTCTTCTGAAGGGCGCTGTTTTTGCTTCTTGACCTTTTTAATTGCCTCCAAAATCCACTCCGTGTACAACGGGTTAGCGAGTTTTACCATGATGAAGACTTCTGTATATCCATAGAGTCGTTATCCCTTATCCCTATACTGAAGGAGTTTCACAGAATGGGAAAACAGATGATCGGAGGATAGGGACCAGTTAACCATAGCATACACGTTGTTTGCCCCAAATTCCTTTTTCAAACATAAGATTTCCTATTTTCCATTTAAAAATATATATCCTGTTAGGAATCAATTCATATTTTCCAATGCCTCCAAAAAAAGCAGCAGGTGTATCATACAGGTGAGACGAATTCAGCACATCTCATTCCAGCTCTTTACATTCCCAATCTGGTACACAAGTAAATAAAATGGTAAGCCTGAAAGAAAGAAAAAAGAGAAAACAGAGTTATTTGACTTTTTAACAAGCAGCTCCTAACTGTAAAGTTTTGCTAGCCCCTCAGCACAACAGCGTCAGCATAGCTGTGTTAAAAAAGGGAAATTTGTCCAAGAATATTTGGTCTAAAAAAAAATCTGAAAGCAATTAAAGATTTGGCATTTAAAATGGCAATGTATTGGGCCAATTCTTCAACAAGTCTGGACTTGAAGCAAAACACCATTTAGAAGGCACTAACCATCAAAAGAACTGAGGCAAAATCCTCCAAAGGTAGAGAAGAAAATTGCATAGAAAACCCAGCTCATTCCATCTCCTCACCCAGGAAAGAGACTTGCAGGATTACTACAAGAAAACAAGCTGGTTGGACAAGTCACCATCATTTGGGGGGAAAGAAGGTAAGTTGGGAGGGGCAAAGGCAACTGCCTAACAAGAAAGCTGCAGAAGCCCATCTAGCCCAACCTTTCACAGCAGTCGGGCAAACCCAACACCTACATGAAGGTTGCAGCTACGCTACTTTCTGAAAGTGTATGACCCTACCACCTGCTCAAGCGGAGCATGGTTGGGGTCTGGTCAGGGCTTGAGTGGCAATCACATGTATCCCACCTCAGGCTCCAAGATGCAAGGGAACAAACTTTAAAACTCCCTAAACTTGCAAGGGATGTACAGAAGAATTATGGCGTAATGCACTGCACGCCTACCCTAACTTTACGGGATAAAGTTTTTACCCTCTTTAGAATCCCTTTTTTGTTTTTGTTTTTAAGTTTGCAAGGGGCGCTCAGGTCTGAACACCGCAAGATCTGGGTGGCCGCGAAGCCTAAGGAAGCGCCGCGCATCTTCCGAAGTCGGGAAAAGGAAAAGTCGCTCGCATCGTGCGTGTGTTTCAAAAAAGCAACAATAAACAAGTGGCCGCCAGAGCGAGCGAGAAAAGGCGTTATGTAAGGAGAAGCAGCGGCAGCGGCAGCGCAAGTTGGGTCCGGAGGCGGCGGGCCGTCTCCGTCCTTCGGCCGCTTCTCTCCTCTCGCACTTTCAGGCCCCGGGCAAGGAGGCGGCAGCGGGCCCAGCCCCTCGCCCGCGGCGGGGTCCCCGACGGCGAAGCGCGGCCAAGCCGAGGAGGCCTCGCCCGAGGCGGCCCGGATGCCAAGCGGCGGCGCTCCGGCCCCGCGGCGGCCTCGCCGGCTAGGGCCCGCCCGCTCGCTCTGGCGCCGCCGAGGCCGACTTGGCCTGCACCTGCCGCCGGCGGGCGGGCGGGCGGGCGGGCGGGCGCCGAGGGAGGCGGCCAGGCAGGCGAGGCCGCGGCTGGGCCTGGCGCGGCGAGCCTGGGCCGGGCCGGAGCAGGCCGCGGCCGGGCCTGGCGCGAGGAGCCCGCCCGATGCCCGCCCGCCCGCCCGCGCGCAGCCTCTCGCTCCCTCGGCTTCTCCCCGCCTCCGCCTCCTCCTGCTTCGCCTCTCGCCGCCGCTGCCCGGCACGGAGCCGCCCCTCCGCCCGCCCGCCCTCGCCCTCCGCCCGCCGGAGGGCGCCGCGGCCGCCGCTGCTTACCGGGGCCTACGCGAGGCGGAGCCCAGGAGCCTGAGGCCGGACGGCGGCGAAGACCCAAACTGACACGGCGGCCATCTTGGGTCCGGAGCTGGGCGGAGGGCGGCGCGGCGCGCAGCGGAACAGCCGAGGGGGCGGAGCCGCGGCGGCGCGGGAGGGGAGCCGGGCGCGGAACGGCCGAGCCCGGGAGACGCAGGGCGCCCGGCGGGGAAAGGGGAGGCGCGGAGACGGGGCGCCGCTCGGGACCCCCGTCGGAGGGCGCGAGGAGGGCTCTGCCCCGAGGAAGCCGGAGCCAGGGCAGCCCGTCGCCAGACCACGTTCTTTGGGGGCGGGGGACGCAGATCCCTAAACAGGTTAGAATCAGTAGGAAACCGAGAGCAGCCCCCAACATGGCCTGAAGGCATCTCCAGCCCGGGCCTCCTCGGAAACGGCGCTGGCCGTGCAGGATCCATCCGCCCAGCCAGCCCTGCAGTAGTGGACTGGGGAAGAAGGCCTCTCGGAGCGCGTGCAGAGTGCATCTCCTTCTCTCTCCCCTGGGCAGACCAAGGCCAAGCCCCCGAAAAAGACGGAGCTGCTCATGCAGGCTTCTAGCCCTCACTGCTGATTTGAGAAACTGAGCACTGGGAATAATCATCACCTCTTATTTTGTATTACTAATGTATTATGCCATGAAAGGGATACAGGCAAAGAAGCCACAGTTTTTGCTTGACTGTACAGTTTAAACAAAAAGAGCATTGAGAGGTAATAACTGACCTGCTTGTGTTTGTTAGCTGACCCAAGACAGCACTTTAAATTTGGGGATTGGGAGATGAGATCCATGGTGAAGTTCAAAGGATAGGTCATGAATACATTTAAACTGAATTATGAGCAGGGAGGGGGGAGAACAAGAACACTTGTTGTGGTCATTTTCCATATTCCCCCTTCATAATAAGTATTGAAATATGTTTTCAGCACACTTCAAAATCAACTTCTTTTGATGTAATGGGATTTTTGGAGCCCTAAGTGTAGTGTGGTAATTAGCATGTTGGACTGGGGCCTGGGAGACCAGGGTTCAAATCCCCCTCTCAGCCATGAACCCCACTGGGCATGACCATGGATCAGGCCCCATCTCTCAGCCTCATCCACCTCTCAGGGTTGTTGTGAGAATAACATGGAGAAGGGGAGAAGTGTGTACAACACCCCAAGCTCCTCGGGAAAACCAGTGTGGTGTAGTGGTTAAGAGCGATAGACTCATAATCTGGGGAACCGGGTTCGCGTCCCCGCTCCTCCACATGCAGCTGCTGGGTGACCTTGGGCCAGTCCCACTTCTCTGAAGTCTCTCAGCCCCACTCACCTCACAGAGTGTTTATTGTGGGGGAGGAAGGGAAAGGAGAATGTTAGCCGCTTTGAGACTCCTTCGGGTAGTGATAAAGCGGGGTATCAAATCCAAACTCTCGGACGAGGAGTGGGATATAAATTTAATAATAGTAATAATAATACTGAATGCACAGTAGTGTGTATGTGACCCAGTGACTTGCCCAGATTACAGGAGCCGCTGAATAAATGAGAATCAAGAGAGATGGTGCATGATGGACACAGGAAAAGCAAAGGACTTCATGGGGAGCAGCTTTGCAGCAGACGTTAAATTTCTGAAAGCAGAGAAAACAGCACATTTAACATTAATGCTCTAACCCTAAGCATAATTTCTCTAAAGTACGGTAGGTCCTACTGGTTTTGATGGTGTTAGCTTTCTTCTAAGTATGCGCAGGATTGCAGCATTGTACAATTTTCAGTTTATGGTTCAATTAAAACTTGCATGTGAAAGTGCCTTTCTTTCAAGTAACCACAGGAATCCAGCAATGAGGGTGCAAGCGGCTTATCTTGGGAGGGTGGGATTTCTCCCTCCTCGCCCACTCCTCTGCCACCCCCAATGCAACCTCCTTGAAATATGTGGGGTTGATGTCCGAGTGATCCTGTGTAGGGTTGGGCTATGCAGATGCATCCCCTAACCACTGGAAACCAATATCCATTTGTTTCAAGACAAGTAATGATTTGCATTCAGCCCATTGCCTTTTTTTGTGTTCAGGAAGCCTATAAAGTCCTTTCAGCAATCACTGAGAAATCAGAAGAGGGGAGGAGGGGTCATAGTGGGAAAAATAGTCATAGCCTTGTTTCCCATTACAGTATCAGCAAATTCAGCTGCTGAAAATAGCAGGATGGCAGCCAAAACAGAATTATAGAGAAGTAAGCAGGAGGAATCAGCTTGCTCAAAAATATTTAGGGGAAAGAACTCTAAAGGGACACAAACACACAAAAGCAGCCCTGTGAGGAAGGATTGTGCCAGCCTTTGCTAACCTGCTGCCCCCCCCCCCCCCGATGTCTTGGCTGTGGCTTATCAGAGTTGTAGTCCAAAACATCTGGAGGGCACCAGGTTGGTAAAGGCTGCAATGAGCTCAGTGACTACAGAATGCTGATTGTCAGCATGGAGGGCAGAGAGAAAAAAGGGGAAGGGGGATCAATAGAGTATTCTGGAAAAAGGTGAGTCGGGCCAATTAGAACCTTGAACAGGGAACACCCCACCTTGCTACAGAGTCCACTTTTTGAGACCTAAATTCAAACTAGGGAGTATCCAGCTGAAATGTGAGTTTGGTACTTTGCATGCAGAAGATCCCAGGTTCATGCTTCAGCCAAAATGGAGGCCAGGTAGCAAGGATCGTCTTCCCAAGACATGGAAGAGCCAGTGCCTGCCAGAGGAGTAGGCCAGGCTGAGCCAGATGGAGCCGTGGTCTGACTCCCAAGTTCCTTGTTCGGCACAAAGGATATACCCATAATTTTTCACTAAAAGTGTGGTTTGTTTGTTTATTTGTACTATTTCTTATAATTAAACCATCACTTCCACCTGAAGTTAACCCCAAACAATCTGTTTCACCTCATTTAGTGTCTAATTGGATGCATGTTTATGATGCCTGTTGACACGCACGCCAGCCTGTTTTCCCCCTCTCTCGTCATCTCTCAACCTCGCCTCCCTCACTGGGTTGTTCTGTGCATAAAAAATGAAGGAGAGAACCATGAGCTCCTTGGAGGAAAGGCAGGATATAAATGTAATAGATAAGCATCTGTTCTCCCAAATATGTATGTGCGCAACTGAAGCCTCAAATTGGGGGCAGGGTCATTGGGTGTTTCTGCAGCTCAGCCAACTTACATATTCTTATAAGCATACATTCCTAGCTGCAAAGGACAGCTATAAAATGGGGAGTTATCATGTCTCTGCCTCCGGGCCATACAAGATAGTGTCTATAGCTATGGATGGGCAAATCTAACAATTCTGGTTTTGCTCAGTTTCTCACTTTTTCAATCTTAAATTCAGTACTCCATATTTTTTGCATCAGTTTGCTAATGTTTTTTTTTAAAAAAAACCTCTCATGAAAATTAATCAAGATTTCAGTGCAAATTTCCCCTAATTTTTGCATGCTGTTTTCACTAATATATGCATTTTCTATAGTGTGTGCATTTTTTAAAACTCAAGACTAGTAAACAGCATTGCAAAATTCGGAGAAATAAAAAATTTGAAAGATTGTGGTGTTTTGGTTTGTGTATCACTGAGGAGAGTGCAAATTAGTTAAGTTCACCTTTAAGTGTAAAATTAACCAATAAACTGAAACAGACACGGGGACAAACAGAAGAAGACGCTCCCCTTTATCACATACACAGCCCAACCAGACAATGACAATAATCCACCAACAGCATACAAATCAATATGGTTAACCTGACCCAAAACACCCACCCACCCCACTCACACACGAAAACAAAGACCACCACAGCCAATCACAAACAAACAACCACACCCTGGGCCAACCCCAACCTCTCTTTTTTTAAAAAAAAAAAAAAATTATTAAAGTTTCAAAGGGGAAAAAAATCACATTAATAAAAAAATTAACAATAAAAAGGAAAAATACAAGTAGAAAAAAAAAGAAAAAACAGTTTAAAACAATTCCATCTTTTCCTCACTTCTTTTACATTTACTTGTTTCCCGGACCTCCTCATACCTCCCTCTTTTGTATTCCAATTAAATTTGTTAATCCAACAATTCCTTTCCCTCCTTTTTAATCCTAATCCTTAGTCTTGATATATTGTAACGTTAGATTTTTACATATTAAAAACCAATTTTTCCATATTCTTTTGTACCTAAACAGCTAGAAACCACTTACCTTCAATCCAACATCATTCTAACATTCATTAATTTTACAATATTTCTGTATATAGTCTTTAAATTTCTTCCAATCTTCTTCCACCGACTCTTCTCCCTGGTCACGGATTCTGCCAGTCATTTCTGCCAATTCCATATAGTCCATTAATTTCATCTGCCATTCCTCCAGTGTGGGTAAATCTTGTGTCTTCCAATGCTTTGCAATGAGTATTCTTGCTGCTGTTGTAGCATACATAAAGAAAGTTCTGTCCTTTTTTGACACCGATTGGCCGACTATGCCCAGGAGAAAGGCCTCTGGTTTCTTCAAGAAGGTATATTTAAATACCTTTTTTAGTTCATTTTAGTTATCTCCCAGAAAGCCTTAATCTTTGGGCACGTCCACCAAAGGTGAAAAAATGTACCTTCAGTTTCTTTACATTTCCAACATTTATTATCAGGCACATGACAGATTTTTGCAAGCTTGACTGGGGTTATGTACCACCTGTATATCATTTTCATAATATTCTCTCTTAAGGCATTACATGCCGTAAATTTCATACCTGTGGTCCACAACTGTTCCCAGTCAGCAAACATAATATTATGTCCAACATCTTGTGCCCATTTAATCATAGCAGATTTCACCGTTTCATCCTGAGTATTCCATTTGAACAGCAAGTTATACATCTTTGACAAAATTTTAGTTTTGGGTTCTAACAATTCTGTTTCTAATTTTGATTTTTCCACCTGGAAGCCGATTTTCTTGTCCAAATTGTATGCCTCCATTATCTGATAATAATGAAGCCAATCTCGCACTTTATTTTTTAGTTTTTCAAAACTCTGCAATTTCAACCTATCTCCCTCTTGTTCCAAAATTTCCCAATATTTCGGCCATTTGGCCTCCATATTGAGCTTTTTCTGAGCCTTCGCTTCCATCGGTGACAACCACCTTGGGGTTTTATTTTCGAGTAGGTCCTTATATCTTATCCAGACATTAAACAATGCTTTCCTGACAATATGGTTTTTAAATGCTTTTTGTGCTTTGACCTTATCGTACCACAGATATGCATGCCATCCAAATACATTGTTAAAACCTTCCAAATCCAAAATGTCAGTGTTTTCAAGAAGCAGCCATTCTTTCAACCAGCAAAAAGCTGCTGATTCATAATAAAGTTTGAGGTCTGGCAGGGCAAATCCACCTCTTTCCTTTGCATCTGTTAATATTTTAAATTTTATTCTGGACTTCTTGCCCTGCCAGACAAATCTAGAAATATCTCTCTGCCACCTCTTGAAACAGTCCATTTTGTCCACAATTTGCAATGTTTGAAACAAAAACAACATTCTAGGCAATACATTCATTTTAACAGCAGCAATACGGCCCAGCAGTGATAGCTTCAAATTTGACCAAATTTCTAAATCTTTTTTCACTTCAGCCCAACCTTTTTTATAGTTATCTTTAAATAAGTTCCCATTTTTTGCTGTCAAGTTGATCCCCAAGTATTTAACTTTCTTAACCACTGTTAAACCTGTCTCATTCTGAAACCTCTCTCTCTCTATTGGTGTTAAATTTTTCTCTAAAACCTTAGTTTTTACCTTATTCAATTTAAATCCTGCGACTTGACCAAATTCTTGAATCAATTCTAAAACCCTTTTGGTA